ATTATTTGCTTGCTTTTAAGTCACTATGTTTGGTAAAATGTGTGATTTAGGTAGCAACCTTAAGTAGATTTTGTAATTAAGGGTGAGCAGGTAAATAAACTTGATTACACTAAGCACATTATAGACAAGAATGTAAAGTGCTTTTTACAGACTTGAGTTGATATAGTTTCTAACAGTACAGCATATTTAAATATCCTATTTAATTTTACTGACAAAGCAACAAGTTATGTCATAGATGATTATTATCAAGCATGTTTTGTCTTGCACACAGCATTACTATTTCACTTGGCAATCGCATGTGTTGAAGATTAAGATGCCTTTTTCAACCAGATCCTCCTTTCTTTTTCTAAGAGAAATATTTTTCATCCTATTGTGAATACCGTTTTCATGATTCTAACACTAATCTAGGAAACCTTTGTTTAAAAAATAGGGCTGGTTTGAAAACACTAATATGAGTCAGACAATAACATGGCTCGCTAAAAGGACTCTCACTCTGTGGTTGATTTTGAATGCTCATAAATAAAGATTGGGTCACCTAGTCCTGCAAGCCCTTCTGTTTCATTCAGTGAACATTAGAGCAGCTGTTTGACTGCACAGCGATGTTGGCAGGAGCAGTGCTTGAGTGCACCTTTCGCAGTACTTAACGCTTGGATGGTTCTTGACCATTCACAGAGCTGCCTGCAGTCCCTTAATTAGAAACAGATGTCCTAAATGAAAAGGATGATTAGAGCAATGTTAATGGTTCGACTGGTAATTGCAAATTTCTGTCTGTATTTTGAAGTTCAGTAGGATTTTTTTTTTTGTATGCATGAAGAAAGCAAATTTCTAAATTGTTGGTACACAAGTCGTTACACAGTGTGGTGAAACAGTATGTTATTTTGTCTTGAAAGATGTCAGTTCCTTATAATAACAATTTTCCTGGAAGGTACTTACGTAAAAGATTTGTAAATGATTTTAAGAGTCTCTCCATGTGTACTTGTGTGTGTGTGTGTATGTAGATGTGTATGTGCACCCATCTGCACTTTCATATGATTGTTGGAAGATTCTAAAACTGATGTGGATGTACTTGTGGATGACTTGCTTCAGGTCTGCTAAATTTTATAAGTTTTTTTTTAAAAGCTGCTCTTTTTTTTTTTTTTTTTTTTTTTTTTTTTTTAATATATTTGCCTGACTTGCAGGAAAGGAGCACCTTGGGAAATGAATGTGAAATTCTAGTAGACTTTCCTCCGTTTGTATATACAAGAATGGACAGAAACTATCCCAGAAAGTGCTTGCTTCTGCTAAAGAAGTTAAAATTGCTTGATATTTATTTTAGTATTTTTAATCTTTTTAATAGTACATCTTGTTGGTTGTTTTATTGACATTAACAAGAGGACAACTTTATTTGTGAAAGTTTCTGTCATCTTAGAAAGCATAGCGAAAACAGAATTTATAATCTGGACAAACTGGTTTCAGCTCTTGTGTATTTTGATTTCTGGAGGTTATGTCTTTTCCCAGTTCTTCTGCTTTTCCCAGTACATACCTCATGAATTTACAAATATGTCTTTGTTTTGCTATTCATCCAGTAAACATTTCATTCTCTTCCAAAACTTTAGGTCTGCTTACTGCCTTAGAAAGTCCTTCTCTTTTTCAACACTTCTGTCTACTACAGGGCTATCCGATCGCTTCTACTTTCTCTGTCTTGTTTACTAGCTTTCTTTACTCCTTTGTTCACCCACATCATTCCAATTAAATTGTTCATCTTTAAAGGTTTAGTGGCCTCCTCCTGGTCAGAAACAGTATTATATACAGTTATATATATAATTTATATATATATATATATATATGAATGTATATATATGAATATATATATATAAAAACTGTATTACAATTTCAGTTTGTACCAGGAGTAAGTTTTTGAAGTTAATCTTTCCTTAAATCCTGCACACTGAATTTTGGTTCACTTCACGGAGCAGTCTAGGATCAATCCCAACAGGTAGTAGGTGTTTAGTCCGCAGGACCAAGCTAGGACTAGCTGTTAAGGTTAAAAGTTGCTGGAAGTGTATAGTGGAGATGTCAGATCTTCAGTGCTGGCTCTCAGTCAAGATGCATTTCTTCTGGTGCACACTACTCCTAACGCAGATGTGGCCTCTGCTGCCGTGTCGTCTGTTGCTTGCCTGGGCTTTTCTGCTCCTTCCCTCACTCCTTCGGTCTTACCTGCTTCCATATCTGGAATTTGGTTCACCCACAGCCTGAACCCAGGCTCACCCCTGTTCAGCCTCAGTCCAGCCTTGCTTGCATCCAAGGTTTCCAGCTGGGTGCTCTCCTATGGCCTTAAGCTGTGACAGAAACTGACTCTGTCTCCACTTCGATGGTCGCAGCTCCTTGTGTTGTGTTACTGCCAGAATAGTTTCCTTGTGAAGTAAGTATCTGTTTATGGTCTTTCCCATTCTGTGTAGAGACTGAATGCCATTCTTCCCTTCTGAAGTACTCCACACCATTGCACCTGTCCAGATATTCTCAGACTAACCTATTTTTTTTTTGTAAGCTACTCTTCATTGAGAACACCATTTGACCATTTCACCAACTGCTGTCTCTGCAGCTGTTCACATGGAGTATTTTATGTGTGTTGTAGTGTCACAGCTACAGTGTAGCAGGATCTCTCTTTGTTTCAGAAAATTCTGAGAAATCCAACTTGAAGAGCTTCCTTCTTCATTGAATATACTGTATATTGCTCCAGTTGTACAGGAAGTACGGTATATTTTTGCTTAGTGGCTTGTCCACATTGAAAAATGGCATCTTCTTGCAGTGTGCTTTTTGTATGTCCTAAACAATGGTACACATTGGATTTTTGTGTCAAAACCAGGTTGGCTTTTTTAAGCGTCCTTGTATGTAGCAGGCATTCATATATCAATGTCAAGGAAAGTCCATACACATGTGCATGTATGTTAATGGTGTTTCTATCAACTTCACTGGCAGTGTAATTTCAGAAGTTGGGTCTGCGCTGAAGAACAAACATGTTTCAGTATACTGTAACGTTATTTAAACTTATTTTAATACAACAGTTAACATTATGGAAAAAACGCACTTATAGCTGTTACACTTGCAAAGAAATGCTTCTGCGCTGTAGCTTGTTATCTTTAAGAAGCTGGTAAAAGCTCCGCTGAGATACAGGAGAAGCCCTTGGCCTTTCTGAGCTACATGCACTTACAGGATTAGCAAGTATTAGCTGCATTTCTATTTGCCTGTTGTACAAGTAGTACTCTCTGTATATTAGCCAGCTTTACAGCACTGAATCACGAGTTTTTTCCAGGTGACTCATTTCTGGCTACAAACTTTGTTTCTGCTCTTTAATGCCATTTCATGTCTCTGGTTTTTAAGTTTTTTTAGGGCAGGGCTCTTTTTCTGATAAGCAAGCACTGCTAGATTTATATGGTTGCTAGCAGTATGTGTTCACTGTGCTGCAAGATGCAAAGTATGACTGTATCAGAGCATACAACTTGAAATTTCTTGGAACATAATAACCTTTATATCCAATTCAGACATTGAATATGCCTGCAGAATAGAAAGTGAACTCTGGCATGTGAGGAGCAGCTATTCAATGATATTTTGAGGGCTTTTCAAGTCTATTCTCTGTTCTGAGTGTATGCTTGCAAATATAAATGCAAAAGTGACTTACCCTTCCCCCGTGAAAGCACACACACAAAACATGCAATTTTCATTATTTAACTAACCTATTTAAACAAAACAGATGGGTTTTTTTCTTTGGTTTTGCTGATTGCACAGGAAGAATGCTCAGAAAATACTTAATACAGTATTTGAATCAGAGGGAAATGAAAGGGGTCACCTGTTGGTATGCATGTTTTAGCTGTCTGTTTAGGATATGTTTCAAGCTGGTTTTGTTGAGGTTTTTTTAACAACATCTATTCTACCTCCCATCGTCACCTCACAAGAATGTGTGTGTGTGTGTGTGTGTGTGTGAGGTCATGAATATAAGAGAAGTAAATAATTTTACAGAGTGTTAATGACAAAAATAACTTTCTGTAGTGTGTTAAAGCTTAGTTAATGCAGTTTTAAAGAAAAAGTATTAACTTGAAATTATTGAATATTGACCTGTTAATGGCAGCTTGTTATTAACAGTTGTTAACTCCTGGCCATGCTGGGAATGATATTTGATTGTATTGGAAGAAATGGCTTCTGTAAAAGAGGAGTTTTATGGTATTCTTTAAGGAGACCTTAGCGTCAGAGGCTATCCAAGAGAGATCAGACATGTTGTTATTGACGACCATATGGATATTTGTTGTGAGTTGGGCCTTTGTGAATTCTTTTCTGAGAGTTTTTGACAGTAGAAAGTTTGATACATAGTGCTTCAAGTATGCCACTTCATTCTGTTCTTAGGATTTTGCTTCTGAAGCTACAGATTTTTTTTTTCTTTCTTCTTTTTTAATCCCTTATGGCATCTGGATTTAGTTACTGGATACTGCCTCACCAGTGCAAAGGAGGAGGTACAGGATTTGGAATAATGCAGTTGTACTGCTGTAGGAAAATCAAAGCATACTGTTTTAATCTTGTCTGATGAGTGTACACACTGTTTTGTAGACCAGATGATTCATAACTTTGCTGATATCTCTGTGGTTTTTTGTGTTTTGGATTACATCTTAAAAGCTTAATTAAAACCAAATAAATCTACAAGCCGGTCCTGCAGTTGCAGTAGAAATGTGAAAGAATCCAGACAGACAGAGGCTTTTTCATTGTAGCCTACAGCTGAATAACTCCTGCACAAGTCTATAAATTTTGTTCAAAAATTTATGTATTCCTCAAGGTTGGCCAGTATTTTATATTGTTTATGTTAGCTTTATTCTTGCACACTTGCATACATTTGTTCTTGGTGCCACTCTTTCCAAGCACTTTAGAGTTCTGTGATAATTAATTATGTCTTCTGTAGTAAACAAGTGACTTGAAATTATTAACATAAATCTTAATATTTTTATTTTCTTTTCTGTCTTTCTTCACCAAAACAGATAATATACCTGAGAGAATCCCCAGAAGACGTGTGCAGGCTTATATTGGCTGGAAGTGTTTCATATCTTCCTTTCAGGTAAGTACAAGTTGTTAGAACTTTCTATACTGTGCTGTTTTGAAGAATAATGTAGCATTTATCTGTACTAATCTGTTGTTTTGTTTTGTTTTTTTTTCTGAAGTTTTAACACATGACACATTCACTGCTTGAGCTTTAAGTGCAGATTGCTGAACAGGGGTGTTAGCAGCTGGCACTGAAGTATACTGACAGAAGGTGAAGGAGCCACACTGCTTTGTATGCACTCTTGTTGAGCTTTTTGATCTACCTTGCTTCTCACTTAGCAGTCTGGTTTTGTGCCAGTAATTGATAGTAAAACGTATCAAAATATCTGTCATTCATCATAAATGGCTTGTAATACTTTTAGCAGTCCATTTTTCCTGCTTGTTGAATATATACAGCAACCTGCAAATGTTTTGTGCATAAAGAATGCTAGCTAACATCACATGATTTAGTGTAACTTTGAAATACTTCTTTTTACCAATGAGGAAATACGTAAAACCATTGGCTCATGGTTGCTTGACCTTGAGGGAATGTAATCTTAGCTGTTTCAGACCACAGACTTCTCTTTGTGGTGTATGCTGTGCTGCTTAATGTAGCAAATAAAATCAATCCATTGTGCAGAGGAACAACTTCTTAATTTCTTCCAAACAAGAGTTTCTAAAAGTTGGACTAAACTAATGTTCTACTGACTGCCACAATATGCAGAAAAGAATGGCCAAAAAACTTTTTAGGAGGCAAGTTTGCTGTCCAAATATATTGTCATGGAGTGATTAGTTCAGTCCTTGCTTGTTTGTGTTTTCTAGCTCTCTTGCCAAGAGATGGGCTTTTGATGGTTTAAATTTCTATTACTTCTCCCCTGATATCACCACAGTATAACAGTGTAGTATCACCTCTTATCTGCATACCTCCATCATCTAATTTCTCACTTTTAATTCCATTTTTACATTTCCAGAAGGAATAAAGTCCTCCTTAGGAAGCCTGTTATGTTTGTTTCTAAATACCATAAAGGTGTATGTGAGTGATGGAGATGGTAGCTTTTCACTCAGTTCATACACCCTGCCCAAATTCCCAAACCATCACTTCAACAGAACTACTGAAAGAAACGCAAAGATGTGTTACATAATAAGACTTACTGAGAGATGACTTCTGAAGACATGCTCAGCCTCTGGAGTAAAGAATACAGTCTGCTAAAGTGTCTAAAGACTAACATTTCCTTGAGTTTACTAGTGCAACTAAAACTGGTGCAAATAGAGGAGTTCAGATTATGTTAATGACCTATTGAGATGTTGATCTGGGCTCTGTTCCTTTAAGATCATATCTGCGAAGAACAGTACCTTCCCATAGAATAATAAAAATCAGTCAGATAGTTGCTACTTAGGTTCGTTATCAACACGAAAACTCCTGTTAGCAGGATGCAAAGAATTTTTTTCACTCAGACAATCACAGATTGGAAGGTACCTCTGGAGGTCATCTGGTCCAACATCCCTGCTCAGGCAGGGCCACCTAGAGCAGCTTGTCTGGGACCATGTCCAGACAGCTTTTGAATGTCTCCAAGGATGGAGCCTCCACAGCCTCTTGGGGCGACCTGTTCCAGTGCTTAGTGTCCTGGTTTAGGCTGGGATAGAGCTAATTGGTTTTTTATAACTTCCTTCTTAGTAGCTAAAACAGCGCTATGTTTTGGGTTCAGTATGGGATTTGATATGAGAAGAATGTTGGTAATGTACTCATGTTTTTAGTTGTTGCTAAGAAGTCAGGAACTTTTCAATTTCTCATGTCCTACTAGTGTGCAGGTACACAAGAAGCTGTGGGGGAGCGCAGCCAAAACAGCGGACCCAAACTGGTGAATGGAATATTCCAAATCATCTAATGTCATGCTCAGTATATAAACAAGGGTTTATGGGGAAGCTCATTCAGGTTTTGGGGATGGTGGTTTCAGGGTTCTCTTTTCTCTGGGATCACTAGCTGGGAATGAGCTGGACATCAGTCAGTGAGGGGTGAGCAATCACATTGTGAATTACTTGTTTCTATTTTCTATTACAATTATCATCATTATTTTTATTTTATTTAAATTATTAAATAGTTCTTATCTCAACCTACGAGTCTCCTTATCCTTACCCCTCCAACTCTCCCCCATTCACTGGGGGTGGGGGAGGATGAGTGAGTGGCTGTGTGGTGTTTCACTGACAGCCAGGTTTAAACCATGACACTCAGTCACACTCAGAGATTAAAAATGGTTCCCGATGTTCAGAAGGAACCTCCTGTGTTTCAGTTTGTGCCCATTTTCTCTGGTCTTGTCACTGAGCACCACTGAAAAGGGCCTGGCCCTGTCTTTGTACTTGCCCTTCAGGTATTTCTATACAGTGATAAGGTCTCCCCTGAGCCTTCTCTTCTCCAAGCTGAACAGTCCCAGCTCTCTCAGCCTTTCCTTCTATATGAGATGCTCTAGTCACTTAATCGTCTTTGTGGCTCTTTGCTGGACTCTCTCCAGTATGTCCACACCTCTCTTGCACTGAGGAGCCCAGAACTGGGCACAGCACTCTGGGTGTGGGCTCACTAGTGGTGAGGAGGGGGGAAGGATCACCTCCCTTGACCTGGTGGCAATACGTTGTCTAATGGGGTCCAGGACACCATTAGCCTTCTTTGGCACATAGCTGACTCATGTTCAGCCTGGTGTCAACCAGGACTCCCAGGTCCTGTTCTGCAAAGCTATTTTCCAGTTGGGCAGCCCCTGGCCTGTACTAGTGCCTGGGGTTGTTCCTCCCCAGGTGCAGGACTTCACACTTTTCCTTGATGAACTTCATGAAGCTTACATCAGCCCATTTCTCCAGCCTGTCAAGGTTCCTTTGGATGGCAGCATGACACTTTGGTGTATCAGCCACTCCTCCCAGTTTTGTCATCATCAAGCTTGTTGAGGGAACTCTCTGCCCCTTCATCGAGATCATTAATGAAGATGTTGAACAGATTCAAACACTGTATTTACCCCTGGAGTATACTGCTAGTTCCTGGCCTCCAACTAGACTTTGTGCCACTGACCACCACCCTTTGGGCCCAGCCATTCAGCCAGTTTTCAATCCGCCTGTCTGCTTGACCAGCCCACACATCACTAGCTTGTCTGTGAGGATCTTACAGAGGCAATGTTGCCGGTCTTACTGAAGTTCAGGTAGACAATATACACTCTTCTGCCCTAATCTACCAGGCCAATCATTTCATTGTAGAAGTTTATCATATTGGCTTGAGCATGACTTTGCCCTGGTGAATCCATGCTGACTACTACTTACGATTTTCTCATCCTTTATATGCCTGGAAATGCTTTCCAGGATTAGCTGCTCAGTCACCTCTCTGGGGATTGAGATGATGCTGACTGACCTGTAGTTCCCTAGGGATTCCTTCCTGAAGTTGAGGGTGATACTTACTTTCTGTCTTCACGCATGTCTCCTAGTTGCCATGATCTATCGGAGATTACTGAGGGTGGCCTTGTAATGACATTAAACGGCTCCCTCAGCACTCATGAGTGCATCTCATCAGGGCCTACAGATCTACGTATGTCCTGTTTGCAGAAGTATTCCCTGACCTGATTCTCTCCCACTAAGAGTACATCTTCCTTACTCCAGCCTTTCCTCCTGGCTTCTGAGATCTGGGATTCCTGAAGGCTGGTCTTCCTAGTAAAGACTGAGGCAAAGAAGCTATTCAGTACCTCAGCCTTTTCCAAGCCCTGTGTAACCAGGTTCACTGTCTCATTGAGCAATGGGCTCACATCTGCCCTAGTCTTCCTTTTGTTGCCGGTGTACATACAGAAGCCTTTCATGTTTTCTTTGACATCCCTGTCCAGATTCAATTCCATTTTAACTTCCCTAATTTCATCCCTGGATCCTCAGACAATGTCTCTATATTCCTCCCAGATTACCTGTCCTTGCTTCCACCCTGTGTATGCTTCCTTTTTGTGTTTGAATTTAGTCAGAAGTTCCTTGTTCATCCACACAGTCCTCCTGGAATTTTTGCCTGCTTCATATTCATTGGGATAAACTGGTCTTGAGCTCGAAATGGGTGATCCTTGAATATTAACCAGCTTCCTTGGGCCCCTCTTCCCTCCAAGGTGTTATCCAGTGAGAGTCTTCCAAGCAGATTTTTGAAGAGGCTGAAGTCTCTTCTCCTGAAGTCCAGGGTTGTTAGCTTGCTTTTCACCCTCCTCCCTGTCCTCAGGATCCTGAACTCACCATCTCATAGTCACTGCATCAGACTCTGCATCTGTAATTTCCTTCTGCTGAATTTTTCTCGCTGATTCACCTTTCACACTGATTCATTATGGAGGAAAAGGATACAAACAAATTGTAGAGGCAGCCATCCAGTTTCTTCAGAAGTTCTTCCTCCTCTCAACTGAAATTTGAACATGATACATTTTTTACTTTTTTGAAACATTAATGATTCTCTGCTGGTGAGGGCTGCATGAACTCAGAAGAAAGTGTTCTGCTGACATAATATTCTTTGATGTAGATTTAATTTAAATTTATTTTTTGACTTGACTGTAGTATTCCTTTAGGATGCTTATTTTTTGGTGCTTATGGAATCTGATAATGGTCACATACTAAGAACATGCCATTATTGGGTCCACAGAGTTTTTAAAATTGTAGTTGAAAGGATGTCGTGGTTTGAGCCTGGTTGGCAGCCTAACACCACGCAACCACTCTCTCACCCTTCTGGCAATAAGAAGGGTCAGAGAGCCAGGCTTGGGGTTCGAGATAGGACCGGGATGGGGAAAAATCACCCTTTATGGGCAAAAGGCAGACTCGTTAGGGGAAGAAAAAAAGAACATACATTTATTACAGACACTAACACATAACAGAGTAGGACAGTGAGAAGCATTGCCACATCTTGAGAACACCTTCCCCCCACCCTTCCCTTCATCCCGGGCTCAGCTCTGCTCCTGATATCTCTACCTCCTCCCCCAGTGGCGCAGGGGCAGGGAATGGGGGGTGCAGTCAGCGCTGCCACTTCTTCCACCTTCGATGGGGGGAGCTTCTGGAAGTTGTTCCCCCTGCTCCATCGTGGTCCCCCTCTCACAGGAGACAGTCCTCCACAAACTTTCTCCAACATGGGTCCTTCCCAGGGGCCGCAGCGTTTCCTTATGCTGCTCCGGCGTGGGTCACCAACTTTCTCCAACTGGATTCCCTCCCACGGCTGCAGCCCTTCCCGAGCTGATCCAGCGTGGGACAGCCCCGCATGCTGCAATCCTCCCCATGCTGAACTACAACAGCAGGGGCTGCCTTTTCCTACAAGACCCCGGCCTTCCTCAGGCACAGAGACCTTGATCAACCATGTGAAACACAGGCCATAAATCAATGTCTGCTCCACCGTAGATCTCCATGGGTGGCAGGGGGGGCCGCCCTGCCGTCTCACCACAGGATACAGGGGGGTGTCTGCTCCGGCACACCTCCCCCCTCCTTTCTTCTCCCGTTCCTCCACTGACCTTGGTGTTCATGCAGCTGCAGCAACTCCTCCTCACAAGTCCCACTGCCCGTCACCACGTCCCTTCTTAAATACGTTATCGCAGAGGCGCAGCTGATTGGCTCAGTTTTGGTGCAGAGGTGGAGCTGACTTGGAGCTGGGGGAGCTTTGAGAAGCTTCTCACAGGGGGCCGCCCCGATAGCCCCCTCCTCTGCCACCAAAAATCTCCACCACTCGCTCAACCCAAGACAAAGGAGTTTTAATGAAAACCAGTTTCTCCTCATGTTTAAGCATAAAGAACTTTATGTATCTTAAGGGAAGTCTCTTAATATATCTACACAAATGTGTATCTTGTCAGTTTTAGTAAGATGCTGTTCATGTATACATAGAATGCATATGTGCAGCATAATTTTTAAAGAGTTTGAAAAAAAATTTGCGGTTTTGTACTTTTTTGAAAGTGTACTTCAGATGAAAATGTTCTAAGAGTGTATGTTAGAATATAATACAAATTTAGGCATTAGCTTTTGCCACAAGGAGCTTGTGTTGTCTGTTCTTTGTTGACGTGAACACTGAAAAATGCCAGTTCCAATGTTCATGTCAGAAATTGAACATCAGCTTTACCAGAACTATAACTGGAGTAATTTTGCTCTTGGATCATCTGTTAACTTACTTTATATTTTGTTAATATTGTAAAATGCAAGGTGGGGGAAATGAAGTAATTGTTTGACATAATCATTTCATTATAATATTAATTATCTTGAAGCAATCTTTAAATACGTGTTAGAGAAATACTTTCAGTTGCGTTTACTTTGATTAAAATGGAATAATTTTACCATTTTGGTCATCATATTTTACAGGGATGCTTCCTTTGGTACTTGCAGTTTTCATCTGACATTGCTGGACTGTTTTCATGCAATAAACAAGGTCAGTAAAACAGTATTTTTCATATTGCAAAAGGTTAGCTAAATATTACCCATCAGATAAAGATTTAGGAAGCTAGGATCCAGTTAGAGCTGTGCAGTATCAGTTTTTCTGATTGTTGCCTAGCTTATTACGTATAGTATGCATTGTAACAAAACTTATACATATACTGGATACCTTATATAGTCAACTAGTAAAGATTATAAAGAGGGAATTTCGAGTTTTATTTATGTAGTCTTTCAGGACAGTAATTCACACCTCTAATCCCTCAGGGTTGTGTGGTAGGTTTATTATATGCCCCCCTGATGTTACATTTTAGGCTGAAAATATCCTTTGAAAGTGGTTTTGAATTGCTTAGTGATAGTTTTTAGGCATTTGCAGCATGTGTTAATGACTTCGAGTTTTGCTTCACTCATACAAATAGAACAGGAGGCAGATGCACTTTTTTAACTACAGACTATCATAATCTAGTGTTTTACAGCAGTACAGTGGTGAAGTAAAATGGTGCTGAAGGACAGGGGAATTTCTATGCGTTCTTTTTGGTCTGTGTGAGTAGTGAAACGGGGAATTCTGCAGCTCTTCACCCTACTACTGTCTTTTGTATTACAAGTATCTCTTCCAAATACTGATGTTTTTACTGATTAAGGCAGCTTCTTGCTTATTTGTGATTTTCAGGTTTTTTTGGATATTTTGACGTTGACTGCTTGTATGTCAGGGGTTGTGAATTGCTATTCTTCTTAGAAGAGTAAGGAAATTTACTGAAGATTAGGCAGTGAAAGAGGCGATTAGAATGTAATATTTTAAATATCTGGAGATATGGGATTATCCGTGTTTGTGCTTCCTGATTTAACAAGTGGGTAAACTGCCAGTTACCCAGATTTTTTACATTTTTTATACAGTATTAAATATAATTGTGGATAATTACAGTACATCAGAGACCACAGTAGTATCTGCTTAGGACTGTGTTTCTGCAAACAATTTAAAATCAGTGAAGATACTAGCATCGTAATGAGAGCAGATTGCATTCATGCTCAAAAATATCTGCGATCCTTGAATGTAAACTTTAGAATGTACTCATAATTTCAGTAGATCATTTTTGCCAGTTAATTTTCTCCTTTTTATTTTGTACACCTGGCAGTAATAAAAAGACTGAATGTTTCTGTAGTCTGGAATTTTGTAGTGATTCAATGAAAACAGAAAAGAGAGGATTTTCTTGTCTAACTTAGTTTATATTAAAATTTACAAACCTTATTTGAACCAAGTCTGAGTTGATCTGTATTTTTGTCAAATATATGAAGAAATCTCTCTGAAAGAGTAGAACAGGTATTAAGGGGCTTCCAGTAACCTAGAAGAGTAATAAACTGTCCTCATTGAAAAGGTGTTGTCTTTGTTAAAAGCTGTATTCTGAATTTTAGGCTTTGCAGTATGGTTTCCTGGATTTCGATACATTTGATGTAAATGAATATGAGCATTATGAAGTAAGTGTTCAGTATCAGTCTGATTTGTTTGCTGTTACTAATGCTAAGATGATTGTTTATAATATGTGCTATTTTTTTTCTAGTATTAGGTTGCATTTCTGTTTTCTCTCTTTAAACTTTAGTTGTTAAAGAAAGATGTGTGGTCAGAGAGAAAATATTAAAATTCAGATTTAAGTACAGTCAGCCTCAAACACGGGGGGAAAGCAGAAACCAAAATGGAAATTAATGCTTTTTTCTATTATTGTTAAAGCCCTGGAAGGTGATCGGGGAGTGGGAATTTGGCCACCTTTTAGAGGTCATGCATATTCTTGAGCAGTCTTGATGAAAAACTCAAGGGCATACAAGTCCAAGTGTAACTGTATCCCATAGAGCAATTAAAGTATGTGTCTGTGAACACATGGAAAAGATACAGTAACACTCTTTGAGGTAAAGAAGGAAACAGGTCTGGGAAACTCCAAGCCTATAAAATTCACTTTGGGGCATGGGAAATTAATATGACAAAGAAGGACTGCAACTCTTCACTATATGCAGTCTCCAAAATGCAAAGCTGCCAATTATCTGTAAAGAGAAAATTAAGTGTTCTTAGAATTGAAAAAATAATTATTTAAATTGTGAACAGAGATAAGGCCGAGGTCGTAATTTAGAAACCTATAAAAAATTCAAAATTGGAAGTTACCCTTTATCTGAAGGGCATCAGTTGTGTTGTTCTAAAACTCTAATTTAGAAAGAGGAGAACACAGGCAAGAAAAGTGATGTTGAGAGCACCTGGCATCCTCCGATGGAACAGAAAGCAGGAGACTAACATGTACAATTTTTGCCAAAGGAAGTTTTCACTTCTATCTAGCATGTATTTTGAAACAATAAGGAAAAGCCTGAAACTACAGGGATAATGATAAACCAAGCATTTTCTCTTGACAGAGAGCAGAAAATGGAGATTTTAACTGGATAATACCAAACAAATTCATTGCCTTCAGTGGACCTCACTCAAGAAGTAAAATTGAAAATGGTATGCCTAAAAAAGGAGGTGGGGGATACAAGCCCACTGCTTTCTTAGTTGATTGTTATCAGTAAGAACAAGCTTTAAAAATTGTTCCTCAAACAGTGTGTTTTTTCCTTGGCTCTTTTTCTTTTATAAGAACCCTGGCAGTAAAATTTTAATGCTTGGTTCAATTGTATCTGACCTAGGTGATTATGTTAAAATTCCATTTTCGGTTAGTCTATTTCTTTATGTTGAACATGAGTTCTATTTTGAAAGTGTTTTCATCTCTTGTTTTTGTGTTTTTGTTTATTTCTGCAGTTTGAGCCTTACTCTCTTCCTTTTTTTTTTTTTTCCTTCTTTTTTCAAATAGGCTATCCCCATCATGCTCCAGAGGCTTATTTCCCATACTTCAGGAAACATAAAGTCACCACTATAATACGCCTCAACAAAAAACTGTATGATGCCAAACGTTTTACAGATGCTGGATTTGAGCATTTTGACCTCTTCTTTGCTGATGGAAGCACACCTAGTGATACAATAGTTAAAACATTTATAAATATTTGTGAAAATGCTGAAGGTGTAATAGCTGTTCATTGCAAAGGTATAGTGTAAAAACAATTTATATTTTTATATTTACCTTTTTAAATATTTGTGAAATATTTGTGAAATTGCTGAAGGAATTATAGCTGTTCATTGCAAAGGTGTAGTGTAAAAACAATTTATATTACAAGTGATGCTTATAGTTACAGTTCCTGAGGTATTTTGCACTTTAATTCTATTATATCTAGTTATGAACATCTCTGCCAAACTGGAACTTTTCCATACAAATTCTTTCAGTGCTTCTGTTCTGCACTTCATCTTCTAGTTTTTTCAAGTTCCAGAAAAATCTTCCCAGCTGTTTCCAGGAATGAGGCTGGGGAAAGTGAGCTTGCCAATATTAACAGCTCTTTCTGCTAGAAAGTGTTAGCATTTTCAAAGGATGATTTTGAGCAGGAATTTGAAGTCCTGGCAAGGTTTATAAGTCTTTATGAAAATACACTATTAAATATACCAAGTTACAGACTTCTGAAAATACCAGTGCAGCTTTTTGAGGAGATTCCTCATAAAGTATGAGTGTTCTTCCAGAACCACAGAAATCTTTATTCCTCAGAAACCCTCTACACTAGCTACATTGGGCATGCTGTGAGTATCTGTCTCTCCAGAGTTAGACTGCCAATGAAAAGATACACAGAGCATGCCCAGTGCAGCTAGTGTAAATACACAGCTTTCTGTGGTTCTTGAGGAACCATCTTTAATAGTCTGTCAGACATTTGTTCTCCACAACTTTGCATCACTAGCACACCTGATAATGCTGTGATTGAAGTGTCCTTTTCTTAACCCATTTGCCTGGGACCTGCAAAAACTGAATTTTTGTTCCTGGATCTGCCATCCATTTACTGCATGTTTAACGGGTTCATACTGTGAAGTGGGGTAATTGGTAAAAACAGCATCTTGACTGTTGGAAAGCCGGTGCTTATTCTGACTCTCCACTGAGGTGATAAATTCTGGCGTATTGCTTAATTGATTATGCCTGAATATTTGAGTATCGATGGTACAAGTGCTTTGTTTTCATTCAAATTAAGACGTTCTTTGATATTTATCATACTAATGGTGTCTAGACTAACTTATGTTCCTCATCCTGCTCTTACTCTTGAGAAAAATGAGAATGCTGTAGCTTGTTGTTAAAGCTGGGCGAGGCATGGAAAGGTCTGTGTGATTGTCTTAGCTATTAGGCTACACTGAAGATTTTATACTGGTGTTATCAGTCAGTTGTTAAATGAGAGGATAATGTGTGGTTTGACATTTATAGCAAGTGATAGAGGAGAGATGCCACTTAGCTAGAGCTGTCCTCTTTTCCTTCTCATGTTTCCCAAGGTAAACAGAACTGTTTTGAGGGACGTTGCAAAGAAAGTTCCTCATTCTGGAGTACTTTTTGCCTGTGTTTTGCCTCTAGTACCCAGATTTTCTTATTGCAAAATTTGTGTTTTCTTTGGGAACAAAAGTAAGAGATTAATTAGAGGAGGGTTTGGAAGAGCAACTGGTTTCAGTGCAGTGTATGATCAATTTGCAAGAAGGTGCTTTGAGAATTTTGGAAAAAAGCCAGTTGGTTTATCCCATCCATAAAAACATTCTCATACATATATACATATTCACAGATAGATAGGTAAACAAATATAGGCTTACAGATGTTTGTAAAGTTACTGCCTTTGGAAGGTTACCTTACTCAAAAAACATGTGAACAATGTGTTAGTAACCTTGTATATGGGAAAAAAAAAATCGAAAGGTAAGTTTCACTTACCAAGTTTGATTGGTAACAGGTTTGTTTAATAAATTAGGCAAGTAACTATTTGTTCAAGTAACAATGTCTTTAGCTACAGCAGACTCAAGATGAAGATGAGTGTATAAAAGAAGCCATTCTTTTATCTTACACAGCTGGTCTTGGACGAACTGGTACACTCATTGCATGTTATATTATGAAACATTATCGGATGACAGCTGCTGAAACTATTGCCTGGATTAGGATAAATAGACCTGGTTCAGTGATTGGACCACAACAGCACTTTCTGATGGAGTAAGTAGATTGACTATAAATGATTTCAAAAATAGATGTAGATGTCTTTTTCTTTTATTGTACACTGAATAATTTTTGTTGTTAATTTGTTGTGTTTTGGGATTTATTTTTTTTCATGTTATGATAGCAAACAGGCAGAACTTTGGACAGAAGGAGATATTTTCCGTGCAAAGTTGAAAGGAAACCATAAAATTGCTGTAACAAGAATTCTTTCAGGAGTAGATGATATTTCAATCAATGACACGAGGAACAGGAGAACCATCCGAAGGGACGCTGAACTGGTAACCATCTTACTCTTGTAAAAGTTGTAACTGCTGTTGAGAATCTTTCAGATTCTTGAACAAACCTGTGAGTACACTAAAAATATATTAGATTCTGTTTGCCCTTTTGTATCAAAGGATATGGGGGGGAAATATGGACAGGAAGTATGAAAAATGGAGTGCAGTACACAGGTGAAGTAGGAGCATCCTTATCATACTTCAATCTTTAGTAATTAGGTAAATATTAGAACAAAAAAGTACTCACAATTTGCAATCAAAACCACTGTGATTTTGTTTTGGATTGTCTATTACTTCATTGTGTTGTTTAAATGGAAAAAATGAAAGGGGTTTTGATATTTTTAGTTTCTAGGTAATTGCAACTTCTATAATACCTTTTGATGCTGCCTTTTGAAAAAACGGTACTGCTGTTTTAAAAAGGCAAGTGAAGGAGGGAAATGCTGTAATTGAGTGAAGATTGTACTGTACCTAAGCAAAGATTTGATAATGCTTCCACTGTTTCAAAGGTAGACAACATTCTGATGCATGTAATTCATTACACCACATAATAATTTACAGCTTTAAAAGCAGCAAGCAGGAAACTGGAAAGAACAGTTGTATTTGTGCAAGTGAATTTCCTTTAATTTTATGCTGGCAAACTTTCCTGTTAGTATAATTCTAACTTTAAGGTTTAAGATAAGGTTAATTCTTAAATGTCTGAGTGTCTGTATTTTAATCTTGGTTTATCCCTTCCCCCTCCACTTATTCAGTACAGTGATGAAGATGAAACAAACTGTGTGACACAAGGTGATAAGCTTCGTGCTCTGAAAAGTAGAAGGCAGGCAAAAGCTCCAACTGCATCTCCGCTAACGTGAGTCAGTTTCTGAATGTATAAATGCTAGAAATACTTTTATCCTCTTCTTCATGCATCTGTTGCTTTGCCCCCAAAAGTTTGTTGCCAATGCTGCTTTTACTCATTTAAAACAAGCATGAGATTCACTGTTTCTCTGAAAGCTTGGTGAGCACTAAGGAGGCAGGAGAACTTGGTTAAAGAACTGCATTACTTAATTTCTAGTTTTCATCATTGTTTTTGATTCCAGTAGTCTATGCTTTACAAGCTTCCATAGTATTTCTGAATGCTTTACTTTTAGTTGAATCACAAACATTCTCTTGTCTTTCCTGTGGTAGTACAGAAATGGAAGAATGTGACTCTGTGGTGGTGTTTGCTTGGCTGAAATAAGGTACGCGCTGTGTTTTTGAGGTAAAGTCAGCTACCTAAGAAGAACAGTTGAAGGAAGGATCTTTAGCTTCCTTTCATTTCCTCTTCCTTGGAGAGGAACTTTGCCTAAATCCTGTGGACTTTGGGATAATGACTGGTAGATCTGAAAGGCAGAGAGTAGCACTATTTCAGTAAATAAATTCAAGAGTGCATTACTGTCAGGGAACCTGGTATGCTAGTCTCTTTATTTTAGACAAGTACTGAAACACCACCTGTAAAAGAAAGCTTGTGGTCACCTTTGCATCTGTTGTAGCTTCTAGCAACTGTAGGTAGAAGAACTTTCTGTCTGCCCTTAAATAAACGACAAGAGAATGCAAGACTTGCAAGATGTATCTGGATCTCCTTTGATTGCTAGGAAAAGAATGGTGACCCCTGGCTGTCAGATTTTTGCAAATAACACAGCACCAGAGTCACAAGCCAAAGGCCATTTAGCTTTTGTTACACTGTCTTTCTGTAGAGGATAATGCTACTAGCTGCTGGGTTTTTTTGTTTTGGTTTTTTACTTTTTTTTTTTTTTTTTTTTTTAAGACCAAACACTCACCAGACTTTTAGAAGAGGTGAGATGTATGTAGGAAGAATATGCTGCAGGTAAAGGAATATGTCTTTGGAAACCTTCACACATTACTATGTGTGAATTCTGCTTTTGTTTTAAAAGATTCTCTTTTGTTTGTGCTCATCACTTACACAGGCAATCATATAAGAAACAACAGATGCAGAAGAAAGCCCATACCCAACTGACAAAAAAACCTCAAAACACATCACCTCAGTAACCACAGTAAAAAACAGCTACCTTGCACATTAATTTGTAAATCACATAGTGCCTTAGTTTCCACTTCACAGTAATTTTTCATAAAAGGGACTTTAAGTCATGTAATAAAGGTTGTGAAAGATCTCATTTATTCTGTGTTCCATAGAATGAATATAGACTATATAATCTATTCAGAGCCCTTGTCTTAATATGCAGAAAGCTTATCAACTACTAAAATATTATTCCATTCATGAAGCATTCTGCAACATGAGTGTTCTAATTAAAACTTGTTAGCTTGTACTTCTGTAGAATTAAAATAATTGATCTATAGCTAGTTGGTTTTCATAGTGTACACTGTGGTACAGGGAGTCAGAATTTCCCTCCTCCTGTTCCCCCGAGTTATTTGTATGGTTGGAGGCTTGTACTGAAATAATTTGATGGAAAATGAATGTATAACTTCTTACATTCTTTGTGTTACTATTATTAAACCAAAATATCACTAGAAATATTTAGCTGCCCTACATGAGTCAGAAGTCTTCCCTAATAGAAGAGGTGTCAGTCTTTTTCCCTTTTAGTTCAGACTGTTAAAAATAATTAATCTTGCAGTGAAAATTACTAATTTTATCTAAGCAAGCAAAAAGAAGCTTCTAAATCCTCTATGTAGTTTTATTTCAAAGGAAAAAAAGGCAAAGTAAGAGCACCAGGAGCTGGGACAGTTATAGTCTTTGAGAGCTAGAGGCATCGCTTACATTTAACTTGCAAGGGATTTGTGTATAATGTTTGTTAACGTTTATTGGAGTCGGTTGTATAAACTCTGTATGCTTTGATGAATGGATGTGTTGTATACGTTCTAATTAGCAACATTCTGCACCTTTAGCAAAGGATTATGAATTAATTTTTCCTACTCTGAACACAGGAAGATAATACACCCCATCATCCGGGTATTTACATAAACTGTTCCTACAAACTGATCTGGCTTTCATCTAATGTTTTAGTATTAAAACATACGACTGTGAAGTAGGGGGTATGAATATAGGCTCATCAAACTGCATAAGAGATGGCAGCAAGTGGTCAGAGATGTACTGCTCCACCGTGCAGTTATTTTCAAAAGAGTGATACAGACTTTCTTTGAAATAGATAACTTTAATGAGGATTTCAGAAAATTTGCTTTGATTCCAGCAACATGTGGATACTTCATTTGGCAGTTTATGGTTGTGGGATTGTTACAGTCCTAGAAAGTAGGAAAATGCTTGGCAAAGGTTATAGAGCAATATGCTTTTGAAGAACTTGAAACAAGCTAAAATGCACCAATAGCTTTTGCTTTTGAATTTTTGTTCATCTTTTCCTCCCCCTCCAACCCCTTTTTTAGATGGCTCCTAGCTATGCTGGTATCTACACTGTGTAGCATTGTCATCTGGTGGATTGTATGTGGCTCCCTTCTGCCCAGCCTGCTATTCTGTCTAGATGGTTTAAGAACATAGTAACCATCAGGACCCCCTGAGAGAGCCACTGTGTAAGTGTCCCATTCCATTTCTCTACAATAGCTCACACTTTCTGTCTAGTATGTCTCATAAATGCATGTTTTCATGTCATGTTTCTTACTGGCTTTGTTGCAAGAGTGAATTTCACTGCTCTGGCTTTGTTGTATTTTTGTATATATTATTTGGAATAACTGAGTGATTTTTTTTTAATGTCTGGCTTGCAATGCAAAAAAGTGAAGAGCTTCTATAATTAGGATAATTTATAATTTTAAAGCCTTTCTTCTCTGCATGCTCCTGCAAATAAGCAGAACTATATTTGTAAAAGTGAAAAAGTACTGCTTTAAAATATGATCCTATCCTTTGCGTATTGCAAATGAAGATGTGAGCTCCAGTTTTACTTTGAAATTCATGAACGTGCAAAGGCACTTAATTTCCCAAAGGATGGTTTTACTTGCATCAAATGCCAGGAATTAGAATTTGTTAGAAAAGTCAGTAGGCCTTTGTCTTTACTAAGAGATTATAATTTTATATGCCATAAAAGACAGTAAAATGGGATTTCTTTTCCTTTTTAACATAATGGAAGATGAGGCAGGATGCAGTACTAGGTCAAGGCTCACTTATTTACCCAGCCAATCTGGTTTCATCTTCTTTTGTCCTCAGTTATCTTTTATAGAGCTTTATGAGACCCTTTCTTTCTGTTACTTGGATTCAGGAGCCAAGTAAAGCATTAAAAAGGTACTAATTCCTTGAGTACTGCTTTCACTCCTTCACTCTGCTTTTGTCAGAGTGGCTGTAGTGTTTGCTCTGCCTCACTCCCACTTAAAAGGTGCAACATTTTCATCAAAGAACAGCTTCCATCTTTTGGCCAAACAAACTTCAGCAGCATGCAGAACTGGCAAGAAATACAAACAGGAACTTTTTTGCTCACTACTGTGTCTCCCTGGAGCCGCTCCACCACTACCACCCTCAAAGTAAGATGGTTTCTTTGGGTGAATGCTTGAAACTTTGCTGGTATCAGAGAAAAGTAGGTCAGAAAAAGTGTTTTACACCAGAGCAGTAAGTGAGAAAAGGCATTCTCTCCTAGCAGAGCATTACAGTTTGAGAGTTTCTGTCCTTCTTACCTTTGGACTGGCAACTTTTTGTCTACACTTCTAAAAAGCATGGGACTTTTCCTGCTAAAGTAAATGACCTAATAACTAAAGAATGAGGGGGACCTGTAGGCAATGTAGTTATCTTGTTAGCCTTAGCTGAAGTCAACTTCATCTATTCTTTTGGAAAAAGGAAAAAACAAAACAAAACAAAAAAACAAAACTAACAAACTAAGGATCACTTCAGCTTTTTTTTTTTTTCCCATTGGCATCTAACTTTGTCAAAGAACATACTTAAATGAGAGGCTTGTTTTAAAATTTTTACACTGATTGCAGCAGTATTTCTTGTCTCAGTGTTTTCCAGAAGTCAGATTTCAGATTTACAAACAGACTAAAAAGCTAAATTTAAAACATGGGTTAAAATTTTGAAACAATCTGTCCTTTGTTTTCCTGTACTTCAAGATCAATTTCACTTAACTATCATCCTTTCTTTCTCTTACCGTTTCTGTGTTCTGTCAAAAAACTCCCTTGTTAGAGGGAAAGAGAAAAGACTGATGTTGGTAAATCCATGACGATGCAAGCAATCAGGTTACTGGCACTGCTGCCCCATATCCAGGATTGACAATCATACAATGTTGGTTTATGTCTAGGAAGAGAAAACGCTTAAACTTTTCTTAAAAGCTAGACTAACGTTCTCTCCATTATGCAGCTAGTGTCTGCCATCTGTATTTTAAGAATTCAGATTATCAGTCACGATCGTGAATCTCTCTGTGCTAGCCTGGCAGTCCTGTTGGCTGGAGGACTGAAGAGTATCAGTCACTTGTTGCCCATTGCTGACTTGGAACAGTGGTAAGGTCTCAGGCCTATTTTCCTGAACATCTTGAGGTGATGAAGGAGAAGGCAGTATTGCATTTGACAGACCTCATAAAACAGGTAGCCTTGGCAAGAATAAAATGCCTATCAGAGGGTCAGAGAAGACATGCTCCTGTGTAACCTATCTTCCCCTCATGCCTCCATAGGATACTGTAATCGTTTTTTCTTTTAAAAAAGCTTATTGTGTAGGTTGATTTCTCTCCAAGATGTATTACCTTGGTGGCATTTCAAGTTTTGTGGATTTTGTCTTGGGTTGTGGAGCTTGGGCTTTTGTATCCAGGTGGTGTACCTCCCACACCACTGGGAGTTAAATGGTAAAAAAAGGTTGTGAACTACTTAAAAAATGGTGCTACTGACCCCAAACACTGTTCCATTTAGCAGCTTTCAATTTGTTTCTAAAGGCTGGTATATTATCTTGAATAAGAAAGTAGTATATAAACTAGTCTGGTGTTTGGAAAGTATATTAGGTTAAGAACTACCGAGTGATACTTCCATTACAGATTAACTGGAGATTAAAAACTCCTGCAGTATATGGATTACCTATTTTAGTAGTGTGGCTTTTACAGCAACCTGTAGCCTGTGTTCAGGAAGTGTTTTGCTCTTTCTTTTTTTAAAAAAAAAAAAAAATCATATTTCATTGAGTTAGAAAACCTGTGTGTACATCAAGTGTGCTTTCTGCTGGTGTTTCTGGAAGTTTGTTGTTGTCATGTACAACATGACATGCTATTTTACATGAACAGTTACAAAGCTGTAAGGTAGTACTGAGGATCTTACCTTTCTCTCATACAGTTTGGATTTTTTTTTGGTGCTGAGATTTTGGCAGGATTTCCTCTACTGTGGCCTCATCTCATTTATCAAACCTGCTATCAGATGAGGCTGCTAGCCTAATTGTGTTAAATCGAAATTCCGCACATTAAAGACAGTTTATTTTCTTACCTTAAACATGTATACAGTAGCATTCTAATAAAAGCTCTGATAGCAGTGTTACTGCTCCTGAGGTGACAGTTGTTGGGCCCCAAGACAGCTCTGGGTATTTAGTTGTAACATAGTGTTAGACAGTGGTGTAATTGGGGCCTCATCTGTTTTCCTTGAGGTGCAGTCAGGCTTGTAAATCCAGACTTTTAGTCTGATTTAAACGTGTCTGTTTGATCATTCAGCAAATATTTTGTTTACAGGGATTTCAATTAATCTTTACTCTTGGGTAGCCATGTGAAGTTGTGCATCACTGAGATGTAAAAATGCCATACCAACTGAAAAGCAGCTGTCTCTGAGTTGATCCTATAAGCCAGCTCCTTCTCTCCCTACCCTTTGGTAAACACAGCAATCTTAAGAGGATGATGTTGTGGTTAGTTTGGTTTTAAGGTGCAGTTATATACAGTGGCTTTTTTTATAAGTCATGTTCCTCTTTAGAACCTCTTTTCTTTCTTTGTTATGAAGAGATAAAATGAAATTCTGTGAGAAGGACTTATGATATGTTGAAAAGATTAATATATACGTGTTTGTGCCAGATAGTATCTTAATATCTCATAGTATTTCCCTTCGTATTACATAAGTATATAGGTTTAAGCCATGTATACAGACCCATTTTCCAAACTTCTGGTGCCTGGAAAAATTGGGACACCTATAAGAGAAAGATTATAGCCATTAGATCATGTTCTAATAACTTTTGCTTTCTTTTATATATACATTACATGCATTTTATACAGAGACAGATTGTATATATATGTATTTAAGGATAAAACATGATTTTTCCATATTTCTGTCTGCATGAGCACTAACAAACCAGCATGTGCCATGATTTGGTCATGCTTATATTTCAGTGATCAAATGTTACGGGGTTAATCCAGTTTTGAACCTTTCTATTCAGTCCTGGAGGTTGCTGGTATCACAGATAAAAGCTTAGTTGAAAGTGCAGTAGCCCAAATCTGTTCTCATTGTATGACGACTGTGGCACTGGAAAGAGAATTTTAATAAAACTCGTTAGAACTGGTTTACAAACACAATAGAAATTGCAAAGTGAACTTCCAGGTTTTGAACCTTTTCACCTTGGGCATACAAGTAAAACAGATTAATGTTAGCAGAATTTGCGTTATCTACAGAAGCATAAAATGATGTTTAAGGTGTCTGGGTTTTGTTTTCATCATTTTGAGTAACTGATTCCTCTGACTTTGAATGTGTTGTGTTTACAGTAGAATTTGCGTTTTGATAGTACTTGTCATTACAGTCTTGTATCTTATCTCAGAGGAAGTGAAGACAGTTTTAGACTTTTGCAAATCAAGTGACAAGATTTTGCAAGTCTGAAATATTAAGAGAGACTTGTTCAAGTAGAAGTCTAAAATACTTGAATTTTGGGGTTCTGTAGTCATCTTTTTGTGAAACAATCTACAAGTATTTGGTAAATAAGGTTGCTGATTGGTTTTACTGCTGTAAAGAATTTCTTTCATATAAAATTGTGTTATCTCTGATACATATTCTAATTCTAGTATTAAACACCTATAAAACTATGGAATTGGGGGGGTGGGGGTGGGGGTGAGGGGGTGTGTGGGGGGGTGTGTCCATTTCTGGTTTTGGTGAATATGTTACATGAGTATGAAAATATTCATATTTTCTTCCATGTATGCCTGTCCACTTCTGCTCCAAAAGTTACGTTTTATGATCATATCTATGATTCCTTAAAAACAGTTTCTTCAGAGTATTAAGCAACCAGACTGCAGTTTATACAATTTAATGAAGGTTTTGATTTTCAATCTAATATAATCTACTGACAAAGATGGACTCAGTGAAGCCACTGAAAATTAGAGTCTAATAAAAGCAGGGGGAAAAAAACAGTAATAGCCAAGTTACTCCTAGCTCTGAATCTCTAAATTGGTGCATAGTTTTATAGTTGGAACCTTGAACAGATGGAATTACTAGGGAATAGACATATATAATGGTGCAGTAAGTAGATATTTGTGGACTCCATTGACCAGTTGTCACCTTGTCTCCATAGTATCATAATTTCACTACAAGTATTTAGGAATACAGAATATGTGGTTTCCCTATGAATCAGTTGGCTGGTGGCTAAAAATAGTTGTTTGCATTTCAGTCTAGAATTCATGTAAAGCTGAGTTTTGAGTGTGGTATAGTAATTCCCTGTAAGAGCAAAATGCCAACATATGCAGTGATTTTCCTAGCCTACTGTGTTCGAAGGGAATATCTCATGGTTAATTGCAGGAAATTTAGACATAGGTCTTCACAAATTGCATTACTTTTTTTTTTTTTCTGAATTCCTTTCTGTGTCAGTCTGGAAAATAATGTTTGTTTTTGTTGCATACTTCAGATTTTATCTTTTTATCTTTATTTAAAATACAATTTCTTAGCTTTTTGTTTTGAAAAAGCCTAACAAGAAATTCAAAGCATTAATTTAATCCACTCTTTGAAAGAAAAAAAAAAAAAAAAAAACCTCAACAAAGCAAACTGCTATGCTCCTAATAAAACAACTTGCATTACCATAATCATAAACAGGATGCTATAAAGAGAAAGATGCATTTCAGGCAGAGCAGTTTGCTTTTCAGAATGATTTGTGAAAAGCCAGCTGATACTTGTTAGCTCTGCTGCAACTGTAATACCCTCTTTTCAGTGTTTTCCTAGAAACTTTCAGGTTATGTAATCTTTCTTTTTTCCTACTCTTTCCAGAGTAATTCTGCAGTCCAGTGTTCAGAAAAATAAAACCTCTGAACCTAGCATTTCTGACAGTACAGACATTACTAAAAGAACTACCAGGTCTGCTGCAAGAAAAAACAGTTTAAAAAGGTGAGAGTTACCCTCTTTACAGATCCAGTAATTGTTCTCTAGGCAAATACTTTGATCTGGCTTATCCATTGCTGACAGGAGCTTTTGCCACAGTTCAAGTCCTTCTCCTAGCAATGGGAAATGAGAAAAAAATTTATAGTTTATGTTATGTACTGAGAATATCTGGAACCTTAAATCTTATGTCAATTGTTTATGTTGCTCAGTCTTTCAACTTTGAGAATTTTATATTGTAATTCCTAATGTGAGTCAGAATTACTGAAGGTGAGGGATTTTGGTAACAGAAAATAAGCCTTTCTTTACCAAACTTCTGCCTGGAGTAGGAGGTGGAAAAGTTGTTCACAGCATTAAGGCGATTATTAGTCAGTACACGAAGTCAAAACTAAGAGCAATTTGCTGGATGACTGAAATGCAGTAGTAGTGGAGAGGTGAAGTATATAAAATGCATGTGTATACTGGTATGAGATTTTCTACTGAGAGTATGGCTGATACTGAACTGAACCTGTTTGGTAAAGCGTAATGAAATTTTGAATTCAGGTGGATTTATGAAAGACTGAAAGCGTCTTTTGGCCCAGAAACATATGGCAACACTACTACTGTGTTTCTTTGTGTGTGCATCTGTTCATGGCCCTCTATGGCATCTTTCCAGGTCGTTACCAATGATGAGCCTGAGAGTGTAGCTTAAAACAATTTCCAAGCGATTTCCATTGGTTGCAATTGACCAGAATTAGTCTTGTGCTTATTGTGAAAAATTTTCGAATGGGTCCATCAGGTGATGAGGAGACTTAATTTTGTTGAGAAGAGTAAAAGTTGGCAAATGACATAGAAGGTAGTTATGTAGCTTGATTTTTATATATTGCTCAAAATTCCAACTTCTTGTGCAACTTTCTCCCCACAGGGCTTTTCTTTCCCCTTCCTCATCCTGTTACCTTGAAGGTGACAGAAATATGAAAAACTCATTTTATCAGGCAACAGAAATAGTCATTAACAGTAGACTCCAATAAATCAGTCAGAGAATTTTTAGCAGTAGCTATATGAATTACATTTTGATTTTTATTACAATGTCTTGAAAATAATGTCTTCTTCCTGAAACGGGTGTTTTACTAAAACTGAAGTATTTTTCAGGGTTTTCCTGTCCAGTTGGTTGGTTTTTTTCTTCCATTTTTTATTGTTTTCACTGTGTCAGTTTTGGTCCGAACAGAATCGATGGGATTGTGCCTGCTGTTTTTATTCTTCCTGCCTCTCCCAGTTTTAACCGCCTCGCAGTGCTTGGTCGCTGTACATATGCACATGTGTAACTGAACAGAGATTTTCAGTTCCTGGAAAGCACACCTCCAAGTTGATCTTTGTGTTGTGTGAGAAGAGAACATCTATCCTTAGGAGGAAACAGCATCCCTAAAGTAGAGCTCGTAGAAGATTTCAGTTGTTTTGAAAGAAATCCTTTAGGTGTATTGCCGGATTTATGAGATGAGGGACCGAGGATCAGGTTGATCTCAGACTTCATAAACTACTTCATATTTTAACGGATTTTCCAAAACTTCTACCCCAAATATTTCATTCCATATGTTCTTCCTTTTCTTCTAATTTTTGAGGCCAAAAAATTTCAGTCACTTTATGCTTGGATCCAATAATCAAATTTGTCCTAAATAGTTATGTCACAGTTCTGGAGTTCTTAATTATCTTGTCATCTGAGAAGGCTAATTGAGTGATGGTCCCTCAGTATGACTGTACAGTTTAGTGGACTTAAAATGCAGTACCTAGTTGTTAATCTTGTAGGTGTCCTCTAAGTTTTTCCTGTAGCATTTGGCAAAACCTCACTTTTTTTTTTTTTTTTTAAGCTTCCCTTTGTTTTTTTCATTTCTTTTAAGTTTATTTTAATTCTTAAAGTCTGTGCAGTTTGCATTACCTCATACTGCTCAAATTGATCAACCTATTCCAGATCAAGTGGATTGCAGGGGAGAAGAGAGTAATTAAAAAATTGAGGTCATGCCCTTATCAACATCTGTCTTTGTCAAGACTTGGTTGCATTCTCTGAACTTCCAACATTACAGTGTACCCTTATTCTTTCATTTTCTTGTCTGATATGTTCCAGTGGAAACATCTTTCAGTATTTTTACATTAATCTCATTTGTTGATACTTTAGGTCATTTTAGTCAATTCTTACTGTAGATGAATCACATTAGCAACGACCCATCCTAACGGAGAGCTGAGTAATTCATTTGCCATTTCATCCTTCAGTCTGTTGGAGATGCTATCATAGAATGCCTCCAGAATGGTTTTTCAGCCAAAGCAGCCATTTACAGCTAAAACACTCTATGCTGTCTTTGCAAAGATAATTTAAGGAATTTCAATCCTATTCATAGCATTCACTGCATTTCCTTTGAGGAACATCTCTAGATGTCAGCTGCCATCTACGAAAGACCAGTACTGGTAGACATAACTGACTGAAATAACACTACTGTTGAACTGCAAGAAATTGCATTGCCAGAACATTATCCACGGTCTTTTTCTGTGGATGCCCCTTTTTCTCCAGTGAAGATGTATTCCTTGTAAATTTGCCAATGACTGAGAAATCTGTGTTTATATTTTAACAAGGTGCATGCATCAGATCCAAACCAGTAAGACACAAATGAAACAGTCTCTTCTGTGTTACCACACATAATAGAATTAGGATTGTGCATATATTAAATAGTTTATTAGAAATGAAATCTTGAATAGTGAAGGAATTTTGGTAGGTAGAGGTGCTTAAGGGAATGCAGGTCAAGTTATTACAAAAAAATAATTGGCAGTACAGAGTAAAATGTATGAGAACTGTATTGTATAGATTCCTTCACTTCTTTTAACCAGAGAGATTAACACAAAAACTAACAGAGGAATACACTTTAAAAATCTCTCATGCTTTTGCTTTGCTGGGAATTGTAAAACAGCCTTCTGCACCCTTGTTCAAACACTGAAAACTACCTGCAGCATTTCAAAGCTTGTCTGTATGTGATCTAAATCTAGCTTTAAAAAAAAATTAATGTTTCTTTACTATTCTTTCTACTTTTCCTACAGTCTGATACCTCAGAGGGAAAGAAAGAAAAGGAATGCTTTACAGCAAATGTGCTTAATGAAATTGTGGTCCTTTGAATCCTCTGTTGCTTTTCTGTATGGAACAGAATGTTTCTTCATATTGTCTGTGATCAGACTAGTTCGTGCTTTCTTTCCAAACAATATTGCTGTGTTCTTAAATGCAGTGACTTTTATCTTCTGTTTCTTTCTTTGAAGTATCATTTGCTTATTTAACCTTGCCAGAAATGTTTGCTTGAAATACATACTGTGTACATATTTAACTTTTTTCCTCAAATATGTTTTATTTCAGCAGCCAATCCGTCCCAAGGACTAGAACAGTATTGCGTTAAATTTCAAGTAAGCAACCAGTGTTGAAGAGGATATTCAGGAATGAAGGGGATATGACTAGAGAGGACTTGATGCAATTCAAGGAAGATTACTCTCACTCCATTTTTCAGCAAAAGTGAAGAAGAATCTCTTCTGTACTTGTAGAATAAAATGAACGGTCAACATGCTTGATAGACACTTTCCTAATGTGCTAACACTTCCTCAAACAAAACCAACAAAATCTGTGTACATGCAGACTCAGGTGTAAATACTTAAGCTCTCTATTATAAAGAGGGCTTGCTAGTATGTATGATGCATGTGTATAAATTGTGATGGCAATCACTTAGCTGCTGACCACCAAAAATTAAGAGATGGTGGGAGCTTTTAAATATAAAAATCTGTGTTGTCCATTCAGACTGGGCTCAAGTCTCTACTTGAGACTGAAAATCAACCACAAAAGCTTTTTTCTTATAGTATTGGTACTCTCCTGTGTTAATTGGCTATTCTTTCTTATTTTGTATGAAGTTTTTTATGAAGCCGCAGTATTGAGTACACAAAGTAACTATTGTCCACCAAAGAGTGCTTTATTTTCAAAGGTTGTCTGGTTTCTTTATTTTGAAAAAATAACTATAAGCAATTAACTTGTTTTTAATTGTACTAGGTTTTTAGTTGTTCACAACCAATGGCTCTTTTAACTAGTTGTAATTGCTTTAAATCTGGTATGAATTTAAGGGGGAGGAAAAACAGCTTACCACTTAAAGCAGTGCTGTCATACTGAAATGTCATTACTGTTTCTTTTGCTATATTCATGTCTTTTAGATGAAAATTTAGATGACCACATCTAAAAGGTAATGGTTCCCCGGTTCTACTGGTATACTTGATAACATGTGGATGTCATTATTTTTTAGCTTTGAGACACTTAATGAGTGCAGCACACAAAAAAGGGAAAATAAGCTTGCTGCACGACTGAGGCTGGTAGTAGAACTCAGGGGCAGGTATAGTTTTTAACATCTAATTAACACTTTTAGAACTACAGCTTACCTCTGTTAAAAAGCAGTGTAATTTTTAGAGAAATCTGTCAAAGACTGAAATTTTCATCCACTGCAAGACTCTCTGAATTCAAACACTGGCAGTTTTTTCCCTACCACTTTTCTCATTATGAAATCTCAAAGCTGGCTTTGCAGTGATATACCCTTAACTGCCAACTGAAGCTTAATAGCTCCATATCCTTCAGATGAGGACTGTTACCACATAGCCTTAAATATGATACAGTTGTCTGTTATTTTAGTGACTCACAGTAGAAAGTAGAAGAAATTGAGAGATCTGAAGTGTTAGCAATGGAGTAACTGAATTTTCTGAAGATACAGATTACCTCTTCAAGGGGGAGAATTTTCTTTTTATGAATGCCAATGGGCAGGTTGAGTGACTAATTTCAGTCTGCATCCTTTTAAATTAAAATTAAGCTTTCTGTTAGGCTGATGATTTTTGAATGCCAGTATGAATAACCACACATTGGCTCGTAAACACTTTTGTGGCAAGAGCATGATGAATTGTAGAGGAGGCAGGATGTGTAGTGTAAGTAAGTTTACAGGTAGCATCTGCAAGTTTGGATAGCCAAAATTTGCAAATGTGAATACAAAGAAAACAGAATAGGCTTGTATGGTGCAAAATAAAGGACCAGCAAGACTCAGACCCCAAATATTTTTTATTTTTCTCTTAATCTTCACCCTCACCACAATTTTCATGTAGGTGAAAATCACATAAAAGGGAGGGACTGAGTTCACCCTGATACAGTGATTAAAATGTGTGTCTTTTTTTTTTAAAAAAAAGTAAGCTACTTGCCAAAAGCTGAAGTACAGGTACGCACAATAGCAGATACATTGTGCAAATATGAATCTGTGTGTATTTTTGAAGAAAATTCTTATCTTGGAAGGCAGAAGGGTTGCAGCTAGTGAGGTGAGAGGGTGAGAGTCAAAACAAGAAAGATGTAGTAATACTTAGTGCATTTGGCTTTGCCCTTTTCTCAGCAGAGCTTCCTCTTCTAGCATCTTTGTCTTTAAACTAAAAATAATGGGTTTATTTCACACCCCTTCCAAATTCCAAATCAGAATTTGCCTTTTTTAAAGTAACCAGCAGAGCCATTAACACTTTCAGGTTCATCAGAAGTAAATTTGCATAAAACAAGTGCACAAACACATACAATAGCAACTCTAGCTAAACCAAAACTGCATGTTTGGTGTGAATGTGTTTCAGGATACCCCTTCTACCACCCAGTATCTTAGTGAGAAACACATAAATGTTGAAGGGATTTTACATTTGAACTCTCCAGACAGCCTTATATGGAAAATTAACTCATTACCTCATTGTGTCCCATCTAACCGTATTGCTTAGTTTGTTATTCTGAATTTTTAGTACTTTGTCTAGCATTTTTATTATACCATACCAAAGCTGTCTTAAGTACGAGAATGAAGGGTGGGCATGGGTGAGGGAGTCCTTGGTTTCTAAATCTTTTTTAATTGTGAAGTATTACGTGCCAAAATGTAATGTGCACTGGCAGCTGCATCACCATTGTACCACAGAGCAGCTGAAGGAAGTTATTTCTGCTGTCATCAGTTAGGAGGTTTTCCTTAGAAATTCTTTGCCTCTTTAAAATACATGACAGATGGAGTCTCCCTTGATCTCCTATTCAAAACTACGTAACATACCCAAAGCTGTAATATCTTGGGTCAAATTGCTGGCTTCCATTACAGGATCAATAACTTAACTCGGATGTTAACCCAGACCTTGTCTTTCTGCCCCAGTATGACAACAGAGGAAGTGCTACTGATATTAAAACAAAAAAAAAAAAAACCAAGATTTGTAGAGACTCGTGCATTAAAAAGAAAAAAAAAAAGAAGAAAATGTGATGTTCACCAGTTTGTTGCACTGCAGTTTTTATATTAATGGTTTGCAGACTGTTTGCCTTGCATAAACTCATGTACAGACTATCAAGGTCTAAAATTTCTTGACTAATCAGTACTGTTCATCCTGATTATTTTTAAATTGTATATTTCTAATCATATTTTTTTAACTTGGATTGACAGAATGGGAGTTTATTTTGCTGAAGGTATTTTTAAGATAAAGCTTCATATTATCTTGTAATAAGCAGTTCAATATGCATTTGTGTCTCATTTGAAAATACTGCATATTGTATTTGATTTTATACAAAATATTGAATAGTGAGAACTGTAAACATTAATTGTGTAAAATTAAAAATAATAATCAGAAGTTTGTTTTCTCATTTTTATTTCCAGCATTCTAAAATAATTCAACACAAACCCGTCATATCTGTACCACACTGACTCATATGTGCTCTGAAAAATAATGCAAGTATCTCATCTGCCTGAAAAGTTATCTTTAAAGCACAAATCCTTAAAACATGTAATTTACTCGTTTCAAAAATAGAGAACTTCTGGCTCTCCATTTTAGGGGAGTGTCATGGTTTGAGCCTGGTTGGCAGTGCAGCCACTCACCCACCCTCCCCACCCACCTGGGAATGGGGGGGGGAATTGGAAGGGTAAAGGGAGACTTGCAGGTTGAGATAGGAATGGTTTAATAATGGTAATAAAATGAAAACAATGACAGCAATAGAAAATATAAACAGGCAACGCACAGCGTAATTGCTCACCACCCGCTGACCAATCCCCAGCCCCTTCCCGGCCAGCGACCCCGAGATACCAAGATCCTGCAGTCGCAATCTCGGAAGCGAGAGAGAGAGAGAGAGAGAGGGAGAGCCCCTTCCCGACCACCCCTCCTCTATACAGTGAGCATGACGTTCCATGATATGGAATATTTCACTGGCCAGTTTGGGTCTGGTGCTCTGGCCGTGCTCCCTCCCTGCTCCCTGTGCCCTTGCACACGGGCAGGACATGGGGAGTCGGAGAGTCCTTGAAGTCTCGGCAGCAGCTGAAAACATCAGTGTGCTGTCAGCATTCTTCCCATACCAAACCCAAAGCTAAATCCAAAACACAGCACTCTTCTAGTTCCCAAAAAAAAAAACATTAACTCTATTCCAGCCCAAACCAGGACAGGGACTCACTTTGGAAAACAATAGTAATTATATTTGAATTGTTGGGATACTATTACCCAGTAAAAACCACCAATGAGATAGAACAGTGGGGTTCTAGTTAATTTGTTTCCTTCCTCTGTGGTCATATAGTACTCATTTTTTTGAAACAATATTCTATTAAGTACTGTATACTTTGATAGTATACCATGAAAGTGAAGGTTTCTCAGAAGTAAAAAACAGATTTTCAGGAACACTTCTTGCATAAGAGTTGATGGTGGTCTATGTCAGTCTTTTAAAAAAAAAAAAAATCCAAACACAGCAGCAGAAAGTTGACCAACTCAAATACTTCTAATCACACTTACCTTCCCTACATTAGAAAATGCAGAATTTTCACACCCCCAAGCAAAGCCTGTTTGACAAGCAAGTAAACATTCACTTGCTCCAAAGATACGTTTTTATGTTTGGAAAATCTGTGTTCATCTGTTGTAAAGTGATCCTTTCTAAACTTACATGAATGTTTAAACTATCTTTTCCTGAAAAAACTGGTTGCCTGCTGAAGAGTGAATGATGAGTTTTGCCTGGGAAAACATCAGTTTATGCATATGATGTCCAGAGAAAAACACGGTTAAGCCCTATCACATTAGCAATTTCAGTAGTGCTGGCACCGGGCAGGGGAGGGCAGAGGACTAAGAAATCCGATAGAGAACAACCGAACAGTGGCCCAGGTCAAATCCATTGACAAGCTAGTGCACTGCAAGAATAATCTGTTTACAGTATTTCTTAATAACTGATTTGGCTCTGTTTAGCCCCCCCTTGCATTACAGTTTCTAGACAGCCTATGCAGGAGTAGGTAGAATTATGGTGTAGCAAAATGGATGTGCCATTTAGGAATATTCAAGGCTGGCATTAAAGAGAAACTGCATGCTTTAAGCCTACCGCACTAAAAGCTTATTGAGGAAGAAATTGTTGCTTTTTCTTGCATTTGTGTGTTTGGGTTTGGTTTCACATGGGTGTGACTGATCAGTAAGCTCCTAAAACAGAATGAGGCTGAAGGAGTTAGTCAAGAGTGATGTGCGTGTGCAGCTCAGGGAATGATGCACATTGTGATGGACCACAGCTTGCAAGGAATATGACTTTATCTCAGAGGGAACAGGAGGGTGTCCTTTGTTTTAGATAAACAGCTATCAACTGGTGGTGTAATGTCTCTCCCCGAGTTCTTTAAAGAGAGTGAAGGAGGTCTCCCCGAGCTGACTGCACCAGCGTGGGGAGAGTGAATACATGGAGTGTAAGCCCTGGACAAATGTCAAAAGAATCTCAAAGAGAGGAATGGTGTTGAGCTGGCATCAACCCTCCTTTTCCTTCCCAGTGACTGGGGACACCCTGCACAGTGACAGGATATCATCGGCACCACTACTGGGATCACACTGGTGTTGCGATCGAACTGTGTATGGTAGTTGCTATATTTTGCAAAGTGTAACTTACGTTTGTGTTGTGTTTCCGGTATACTTTACACCACTGTAAATCAGAAATGCCATGTGGCAGCAAACATCTTCAAGTAAGTAAATTTGGTATTAAGCAAGATACCCTCCATCCATGGGATATCTCCAAGAATCTGTGACAAGAACTGTGACAAAGGGGACTGGGGGAGGGCATCTAGAAGTCTGTCCTTTGAACAGCCCCACGCCTGGACCACGTCCTCCCTATCAAACTGTCCTGGTCCACAAGGCTGCTAAAGGCTCTGTGGCCAAACTGGACAACCCAAGCAGCAGCCGCCGCTTTCCACCCCTCAGCCTGGACTGTCGTGGCCCTGCTGCACAGCAGCAGATACAAAGCATTCCTGCGTCACCAGCACCTCTGACACCCAGCTCTGCCAACTACACCAGCTGCTGTAGACCAGTTATGCCGCAAACAGGTTAAAGTGGTAAATCCCGAATTCCTTGTGCCCTGACAGGACAAAGGGAGCAGCCAGGAAATTGCCCATGGCAGCAGCTGTTATTAATGCAAGAAAATCCGAAGTGATTGTTGCCCAGAGCAGGAAGATAGACATTATGCAAACGCTGAAGCAGACCAATTCTCACCATTGTAAGCTTGCTTTTACCTCCTTCAGTGCTTTGATAACATTCTCTTAAGATGGTAAGGCAGTTCCTTGGTTTTCTTCTCAGTGGAAGGGCTCACCTTCCTCAGTACCACTCCTTGAAACACATTTTCTCTCTAGACCCACTTGTGATTATTCCCAAGTTTAAGTTCTGTCATTACCAGATTCATCTTCCACTGCTCTTCCCCAAACGTCATGGTTCTAGGACTGAATCTCTACTCAGTACTCACAACAGGTGACATTTGCCCTGGTGTTATGTTTCCAGGTGCTTTTTGTCCACCTCTTCCACACCATCACCTCTATTTTTAAATGAGCTATTAGTTAATGTTGCTTTGTTGGGGCTCTTTCCCTTCCTCCCACTGATCAGAACTTTTCCAGCCTATGGTTTTCTTTCACTTCAGTGGAAGTTTCACTGAAAAGGTTACTGTGTGTGTGACAGGGTTTGGGGAGTGGGCAAGGGGGCTACAGCGGTGACCCCCTGTGAGAAGCTTCTCGAAGGTCCCCCAGCTCCAAGTCAGACCTGCCTCTAGCCAAGGCCAAGGCAATTAGCAATGGTGGGTGCACCTCCTCAATAGCGTGCTTAAGACGGGGACCCTGGGAAGAGTAGGGGGAGTTGTGAGGAGGAGTCAGAGGAAGCACACCTATGCGAACACCGAGGCCGGCAGAAGAAAGGAGGAAAGCAGGGGAGGTGCACCAGAGCGGAGCCCCCCCATATCCCCTGATGAGACAGCAGAGGCACCCCCTCCCTACTACCCATGGAGGTCACCGGCAGAGCAGAGGCTGACCTGCAGCCTGTGAAGCTGGTGGCTGCATTTAAAGGAAGCCAGGACTCTGAGGGGACAAGTGGTCCCCCGTGTTGTAGTTTGGTGCTGGGAGGAGGGTAACACGCGGGGGGTGACCTGCACCAGAGCAGCATGGGAATGGCTGCATCCCGTGGGAAGGACTCCTGTCACAGAAAGGTTGTGGAGGACAGTGAGGGAAACCACGAGGAACAGGGGAAGAATGCATGTGTGTGTCCACCTCCACACACAGAAGGGGCAGCAGCACTGACTGCACCCCCGCTCCCCTGCCCCTGACGGGGAGGAGGTAGAGATAGCAGGAGCAAAGCTGAGCCTGGGGAGGGGGGGAAGGAGGTGTTTTTAAGATGTGTCAATGCTTCTCCCTGTCCTACTCTGTTAAAGTGGCACTGCCATTAGTGTCTGAGTTAAACTCATGCTCTTTTTTCTTTTCCCAACAAGTCTGTCTTTTGCCCATGATGATAATGGGTGACTCATCCCTCCCTATCCTTATCTTGATTCCTGAGCCTTTTGCTTCATTTTCTCCTTCCCAACCTAAGGTGGAGGGAAGGAGGGAGCAGCTGTGTGGTGCTCAGTTGCCCTCTAAGCTCAAAATACAACAATTACTAGGTTTTACTTTCCCCCACACTAGCTTCTATAGTCCAGAGCCTTTGCTAGAGCCAGGAAAACCTCCAAAAGCAGCAATCTATCCATAAGTAATAGAAATATAACAAAACTACTAACAAACACAGAATTCCTGGATTAGAGTATTTCAACTTATTTTTTTCTCCTGCCAGAAGAGAATCTGTACCTTGTTGCTGTTATTTTTACCTTTTGACAAAGCTATCATTCTAATTCAATTACATTATGCAAAATTCAGTATCTCATTCAGAGAGTAACTAATACACAAACCCAGAGGAACTACCATTACTAAAAGCAGACAGCATCTTAGTTGTGTTAACTAGCTGTAAAACATTGTAGAGACAACAGAACACAGAATATGGATATTCACACCAGGTAACCAAAGAGGGAAAGCAAAAACTTTATTCGAGTGCTAGTTTATCTCAAACATTAAATGTGATGCAGTATTTAAAGCTGCTCTGAAGACTCAGCTATCTGCAACATTTGTTGCATCACATCTTCAAAGGCATTTGTTCGAAGACAAATAAAACTACTGAAGATTTAATAAATTTCACATTAGTGTAACAGTTGCTATTTCTTCCAAAGACCGAAGGTTTTCCTCCTCCTCCAAGCACAAACTGTTCGGTGCTTGCCCAGCCTGTGTTAGTGAAAGAGAAAAGCTCCAATCCATGCCTGTTATTCAGTGACCCAAATGTACTTTTCCTGTAAAGGTAACTGTTTCACATTGAATTGTTGATCCAGTGACAGTGAGCCAGTGTTACATTACTGCATATATATGTGTGTGTGTATATGTTTTATGTGGATGTATGTGCATGTGCATATGTGCCTGTGACAGCTCTGAAGGGATAAAGATGGCTTGGTAAGAATAATCTTTTAATGACACAGGGGTACAAGAGCTACAGACTTTGGGTTGGGCCCAAAGGCTGTGCACACCCCCAGCCCTGTTCTCATGTGAACAAGTGTAACCAGAGCCTAAAGCTCAGCTCCCATGGGCTCAATTGCCTAATATTCCTATCTATCAAAGTTTTTTACCAGGGCTTTTTACATCTGAGTCTTCCTAGTTACTCTTTAGTATTCTTCTGTTAAGCACAGACAGTCCTCTCCCCTTTCCTTTAAAGGCACTTTCATAGTTCATACACTCTTGCCAATCCTATAGCACAGTACCACATATGACTCAAGTGGACCAGAGTATCAACACCATCCTATATAAACGACAGCTGTGGAGAGGGGGTGAATTCCTTTCTTTGCAAACTTACTGTGATTTACACTAATCTAAAACTCAAAGCTGAAATACAGTATTTTTTCCTAGGCCACTCTCTACAGTAATCGTAACAGTGGAGTACCGTGTAGTAGTGCATTAACGAGTAATAGGACTAAGATCTGCAACACAATTTAATCTTTTCCTAAGATGCATGCCATCCTTTACTAGTGTTTGTGTATATATTTACACCTGCTACCTTTTGCTTTACATGAAGGAGTAAAGCACAACCAGGAGTGACTGGTAGCAGCAGACATGTGCTTAACAGATAGAGCTATTTTGGTACCTTAAATATGACAGATGACTGAGATTTAACAAGTTTTCTTTCCACAGCTAGGCAAAGGAATTGGATCACTGTCACCACTTACAATTAATAATTTCTTCTTTATACTTAGCTACTATCAACTAGATAAAATCTTAAGCCATATTCAAGTCTGACAGACTGAAAAAAATTGTCACACCTACCTGCTCTAAGACACTTTTGGTTTAATGAGCAGTAATCACCTACACTTAACCTCATTCTCAAAGTTTTGGGTTGGGTGGGTTATGGTTTGGGGGAAGGGGGGTTGGTATGTTTTGGGTTTTTTTGTTTGTTTGTTGTTTTGGGGTTGGTTTTTTTTTGTTTGTTTGTTTTTTGTTTGTTTTGTTTGTTTGTTTTTGTGGGGGTTTTTTGTGTTTGTTTTGTTTTTTTTTTTTTAAATTAAACAGTCTCAAAATCACCTTTTTTTTCCCTAAACCAGGAGTCTTTAAACAATCTGCTGCCCAAATGCTGATTATATAGATACACTCTGACAGGTCCTTTAAAGGATTTCCCAAAGAACCTATTTGTCTTTCTGTTCTGAAAAAACAGATCAAAGTTAGAGGAGTAAACAGTAACTTTGCAGCAGCAGGAACCAGACTGAAAAATAAAACAATCCTTTCAGCATTCCCAGAGAACAGTCAGAACTGAATCAATTGCATTACCCCAGATTCAGCCCTGTAGCATAACAAGGTTTCACATTTTAGTAGAAAAAGGAAGGGTTGCTTTTAAGTATTTCACTGCTCTCCTTAGCAAAAAACAGGATACACCTTCAAAACAGGACAGAAAAATAGAGATGAGGCTTGCAAAGAAGCCCTCTATACCTATACACACACTCACCCCTTCAAGAAAAAAAATAAATACAAAAATTCAGACATATTCTTCCCTGTCCAATGAGAAAAGTGGGACAGGAAGGGAAGAACAAGCCAAAAAACACCAAGATCCCCATAGACAGAAGTCACTTCTGTTCATCAATCATGAAACTGCCATTTTTGGCAGAAATACCCAAACACCTATGAAAAGAGCAGCAGCAATTAAAATGATTTCAAGTAGTAGCTTGCTCCTACAGGGTGAAAGAGTCATTCATGTTATTTCATCTAGTTCAATTACTCAAAAAGCAGTGGCACAGGTTACTCTAACACCAGCACTTTGTTTGCTTTTGCACATTCTTTCCACTACAGGTTGTCAGAGTATCTCTATGCCACTAAAATGAGCTGCTTGTGAAATACAAAATCTCATGTTACAGTAAATTGTCATATAACCAATTGAACTGGGTAAGAAAAGTCATTTGGGCAGCACTACTTTGCAGACCACCTGTTTGGAGCACATGGAAAAGTGTCAGTAGTCTTTCCAGGATGATTATACCCTGATTGTGTAAAGCCTTAGCACTGAGATAAGAGTTACTTCAAGTTTCTGAGTACTCTTAGAGATTACTCCAAACAAAAACAGTTTTTTTCTTCAAGTCATATCCACTGTTTACTTTCAAAGGAGACTGATTAGAAGTGGTACAAAACAAAGTGAGACAGAACAGCAAAAAAGAAAGGTTTATATTCATCTGCTTGCCCAGTAAACGGAAAGAATGAGTTCAAGTTAAGCAGGCATTTGAAGACTCCTTTGAGGCTGACAGCTACTTCCAAAATGTCCAGCGAGGTTGTTCTCTCATTCCTTTGCCTCATCACTTCTGGTGTTATTTCCTTCTCACAGATCCCCGAGAATGGCACTGAGTGTCCTCTTCGGCAGGGAAGAAGTTAGGGTATCTGTCTCAAGTGAGGAAGTATGTTAAAGCTGCAAGGAAAGGACATTGCACCTCATCCCCAATGTCACAGTCTTCTTGGTAAGGCATGAAACATTTTAGTTGGTAGTTGCTCCTGCTAAACTGAAAAGCTTCCTTAACAGTTTATTTCCACCTAACTCAAAATTCTTACTTCACTTCACCTTCAGCACCTTCTGAGTTGTTGCCAATTATATCTCATTATCAAGGCAAGACTTATGGTTAGCTATCAAAAAAAAAAGCAATTAATTTTAAAGATCACTTCTGTTTAGAGTAACTCACTGTTTTGGGTGAGTAAGGTCTGCTGTTCATGGTTTTGGGACCTTCCTTTGACAGACTCTGAAGAACTCCAACTTGTAACTGTGTGAAATACACGCTTCACTGAAACAGGGAAAGCAGCTTTCAAATGTACAGTGAAATACAGTGTCAATTGCAGACCACATTGTATAGTTTACATTTTACCATAGTGTCAGGGAGAACTTGATATAAACTCTATGTACACATGTTTAAGCACTGTACTCTTAAAATTCATTCGAAGCCTTATAGTGAAGTACTGCAAGCCTTCACACAGTTTTCACAAAGGGAGGCTGACACTGGAACCTGTGATGGGATCCCAGCCCTCCAGAACCTTCAGAACCCAATTCCATTAGCAGAGGTCTGCAATCATTCCACACCAAACACCCAAACAACTTTTCCAGTAGAAACAGTCTTTCTTTATCCACATCAGCACGAAACTGACCAAAGCTACTTTGAGATACCACCATTCATGACAGTTTTTCAAGATAAAGCTGGAAAATCCTCAGGATCATCAGGATTTGGAGCAACAAGCTGCACCTAAAAAGTGAGAAAGGAAGCTTTATAAAAAAAACATTTCAAAAACTTCTGACAGTCACGTATATGTATTTTACCCTGAAAAGGGTTCGTTCTTCTATTCAAGTTAAGTGCTTTATAACTATATGTATCACAGAAATGCTAAGCATTTATCTCAGAAGTTATGACTATTATAATTTCTTCAGTGTGAACGTATTTATAATGCTTATCTACTGCCTGGGGAGGACCAGAAGATCACAAGTTCTGCAGCAATGAAGTGAAAGAAAGAGGTAGAGAAATCTCACCCAGAATACTGTGTTTTTAGAAGCAGCATTATCATCTTTTTACATCCGAAGGCTACTGCACATTTTGGATTATAGTTTTAAACTCTATGTTCTGTTACGACAAAGAGCCTCTTTCATTCGGATGAAACAAATGCATCAAATCACTTCATATCACTCTAAGTTCCCAACCTTAAAGTATTTTACTCATACAAGACAGAAGTAAACTGAAACCATCAGTTAGTATGAAGGATAAAGATGTCAGTTTTCAGTGCACAAATGCCTTTTTTTTTTTTTTTTTTAAGAGAAAAAGGTCAGTGGAAGTTTTTTTTTAATGGTTATATTTTACATTTGTATCCCTCTGTAGGATGCCATAGAATTATGTCTTCATCTGTAGGATCTCAGGTTTACTGATCTCACTCTCAATAATCAAAGTATTACTACTGTCCTAGTCTGACATTTTTTGTAAGGGATACAAGCCTTTAGTCATTTTAAGTACTTCCTGATTAATATCAAAGTCATTGCAGAAACAGATCTTCATTGCATCCTTTCCTCTAGTTACCATTACAGCAACTAGTAATCAGATCTTCTAAAATTTATGTATTAAAGAGTGGTGAGGCTGAACCTGTATTTAATTTTAAGTAACATAGTACCGGTCAGCAACTCAAAATAACCAGCATATTCTGAGGCAAAAAATTAGAAACAAACCTGTCGCTATGGAAAACAATAATTCCATACAAAAGGGGGCGGGACACACACACCTCCAAACAAGCAAAAAAAAAATCCCCAAGCAAACAACGAAAACTATAAAAACCATTACCACTACTTCTGTTCGTGGCCCTGTCTCCTCAACTCGTCTGCCACGACCACCTCGTGCACCTCTTGATCCACGACCAGGGCGAGATAGACTCCCAAAATTAATATCCAGCTGAGATGTTATGTCATTCACAGGTCTTCGAAAGACATGAGAGTCATCTTCAAAGTCTTTCTGCATCTAAAAGAAGATCTGGTTAAAGCCTATAGCTTCCATGTACAACCTTCTCCCCTCCCTGATACACACACACACACACACACACACACACACACACACACTTGTATTACAGACTAAGAAGCAGATAAATCAAGATGACATCCAGAATAGAAGACAGGCCTTAACTTGCACTGGGTTTTAACAGAGGCGAGGCAATTGCAGCTTCCCAGATGCCTGCAACAGTTCTTTGTTGGTTCAGAGTCCTGGCAACAAAATCTTCTGTACCAGCTCCATAACACTGAAGAGATTTTTCAGAAATGCCATATACGAGGTTTTCTAAGGGACTACAGAGCCAAGCTTAAGCTACTTACTCCTACAATTATCTTCAAATAATGGTTAAAAAGCCATAGTAAAGCACAGTATTTGGCCACTAACCGATCTATTGGTTTATTTGCCTGCAGCTATGAGATTACTGTTGTTTTAACTCTGGATTTCCAGTAGCTAGTGGATGGAAGACTATTTCCCATCATAATTTTAATGTGCACTGTAGTCATGATAACATATATGTAAATTCATCCGATACAGCAATGAATCACTTATTCAATGTCTAACACAGGGATTTGACTAGTCCATGTTACACAGTTCCTGTGCCTCCTATTTTATGCTGATTTTGACACGGTCCCTTGATACTGCCAGCCCAGAAACTTTATGGGCAAAAAGAACAGAAACCTGCACACGTTGTTCACACACTTGCATACTCTCTTCAGAGCTTGTGAAAGATATTCTCCCCACCCCTACACCATCTACCTCAGAGAAGGAAGAAGGGAAGTGGCAACTGTGACCACCAAAAACCGTGCTAAGAAGGATGCTGGCCACTTCAGTATTTGCTTCCGGGGACAGACACTTTCAATGACCTAAAGTGATTAAGGCTTAAAAAGCTTCAAGTTTTGATGTTAATATTATAACTAGACAAAGAGTAATATGTGCATTCATACATGCATGCAAACTTTGAAGGATCAAAATTTCATCACACTAGGCTACAACTATATGCACATACTTCTGTTACCCCCAAAATCTGAAATCTAAGTAAGCAACAGCCTGAGAAAGAAGCCTCTCCTCTCTCCCCAGTCATATCAGTAAACTATAAGTTATTCTTGAAATGTCAACCGTAGTAATATCATGAAATAAAAGTTGGGGAGAAGTGGGGAAAAAAGCACATTAGCATAGAACAAGCTCTCCAGAGTTCCTTCTAAGAAGCAGGACCCTAAAACTGAAAAAAAAAAAAAAAAAAAATTTCATATATTCCAAGTGCACAATGAAAGCTGGGGTTCCCAGCACAGATGAGAAATAGGACACTTAGTATCCAGACTAACATATGCCAAACCCCAAATTTAATATACACATGCAAGTATATATATTAAACTTGGCAAGTAAGTTTAACAGGATTCAAAGTTAGGATAAGAAGTGTTTAGTAAACCAAATTTCTCTAGCAGCATTACCAAAGATCTACATAGGTGGCAGCAACAAGGACCCAGGTTTTATATTGCTAAGACTGAGCCATAAGGTAGAACAACTTGATATGTTACATATTTGCATACAAAATAGGGGTGATGATCTGAGAGAAGAAAATGAACAGATGGTAAGTTTAAAGCAAGTTTTGGGGCACATACGTCATTACAGTAACAAAGCCTAGATACTGATTATCTGGGCTGTTCAGATTATACTAAAGCTAGTAGAGAAAGAATAGAGACAGTTTCCTAACCCTGGGCATAAAGCAGAGTTTACAAAATTCCTGAGGCAATGCTTACATCATTTCTATATTTTGACTTGTGAATCACCACTGCTTTGGAAGGAACAGTGGATTCTGGCTTCCGGATGTTGAATTCAGGCTTTGGTCGATTCTGTTGCTGAAGATTTTTCCACTCATCTAACGTCATTTCTTGAACTACTTCTTCCATTGGCTCTCCTTCAGAAACTCTAAAGGTTTATAGTTGTAAAGTAAAAACCATTAGCTTGCAACATGCCAGGATGAACAAGAACTCTAAAGTAAGGATACTAAGCAAAACATTTGGAATGTTTCTCACCAAGTTACTATCAATTTCACTTACTCCCCACAGTAACTTGATGTGCAAGTTTTACATTGATGTAAGTTGGAAAATGTACCTGTGGCCTGTTTGAAATTAGCTGTATGAACAAATGATGTCTCCAGCCTCCTATAGTAAGTTCTGGTATTTATCGAGTCTCACTGTAAGTTCAAGCACCTCAGATTCTAGACAAAACCAGGCTGTTTTTTGATCTGGCATATTCTTAACCCTACTGTTTAATAGTGGATCTAATCCTAGGAAATACAGCTGTAATAAAAAAAAAAAGCGCACACCAAGCAGTTTTAAAACACCCTAATTGCACGTTTCATTGACTTGTACTGCAAGATGACAGTATGAGGAGGATTCATGTTTCAGTGCAGCTTTCAGACAAAAAGACATGATGATCACACTACGGAATCTTCTAGGCAATTATTAGCATTTCCTTTATTAATTTCATAAAATATTTCTTTCATTTCTTTTCTCAGATGTAGTAGCACACAAGGAGACAGTAATTACCACCTTGCAAAACCAGATAGTCCTAGTCCAGTTCTAATTTCTCACAAAGTGCAATAATGATGATATGTTCAAGAAAAACATACAGAGTACATCGGAGTCTGCCTTGCATATTTTTGAACTATAAAGACAGAAGTCCAAGGCTTTATGTCTGTATTCCTAAGACAAAGATTCTTTTCCACTCATCACTGCTTGAATATTCTGCCACTTTTCTGATGCTGACCAAGACTGACTTGGCTAGGATCAGCAGCTACTACACTACACTACAGGTGTACCTTTTAAAGGTATTTGCAGAGAGCTATTCCCCACTAAGCAGTATCACATTCAGGGAGCATAGCTGGCTTCATCACCGTAATTGTTTGCTGCAGAAACAAGTCAAATACCAAGAACTACAGGAAAACCTGCACTGATTACTCCCAGTCACTTGAGAAAGCATTTCTCCCTTCTCCCACACAGAACTGCTACGTATTACAATAGTGGTCAAAGGTGGTTAAGTATTTCACGAACATTGATTTTTCCAGAAAACCCTTTCAGGTGGTCCATTCTGGTGCGAGAACTATGAATTTGGTTTTCCTCACTCAATTGCAGTTCCAAGTTTTCTTCTATCACATGCTGATGGATTTTTCCAATGTAAATAAACAGTTGATTAGATACAAGGTGGAAATTTATTTTATCATGAAAAGATGGAGAGTCAAATGATATGCAGTGAACTTTGCATTTTGTTTTTTAAGTTGTACAAGCACCCCATCAGAACACACACATTTGTTGGGAGTGTTTTGTACATTTAGATCTAGCCTATATAAGAACAGGCCTGTACCCTCTTCCTAACTGATCTTGCAGAGAAGCATTCCATTTCTTGCCAAAATTATACAATATTTTCCTGAAGCACACAGCATATGACAGGTAGAAGCAGAATTGAACAGTAAGACAGCCCTTAATTTTAGTTCTAGGAAGAACACAGTTTTAAATGCACTTTGCAGAAAAATAAAAGATAAGAAAGTCTTGTACCACATGCCTACCCTTGGCCATGCTTTCATGCCCTGTTATTTTGAAAATTCCAGCTGTATCAACCAGAATTTAAGTGTTAAAAGACTGGTAAGCAGCTTGTAGTTCCATACTCATTAAGAAGATCTGAAACTATTCTAGAAGGATTGTCAAGAACAAAAATTAACCCATTTACTACATTAAATAAAAAGGACACTAGTGAAAGATGCAGCTACTTCTGGAAAAACACCAACAGATACTGTTCCATGTGTAAGAGTATTGAGAGCCAACTGCATCCCAAACATTTCAATTTATTGTCCTCACAAGTAAGAAGCCAGATAATTTTTGATCAATTATCTGAAGTTTCAGTTTGGGGTACAGGTGTTGGAAAAACAAGACTAGTTGCAAACACCCAGAGGAAGGAAAAAGGAGAAAGTAAACTAACAAAAATGGACTCTATTAGATCGGTTTAATTTCTTCCTAAACCACTACCTCAGGACACAATCAGTAAAACTGCCTATCTGAATTTTACGAAGTCTTTGTCCTCCTCTCCCATTAAGTTCTCACCACATTAGGAAGACACTATTTCAGTCCCTAGTGAGAGCTGTAGGAAGATACAGAAGTGATTGCAACAAGTACTTGAGAAGTAGCTATCAGTCTTTCAAACTGCAAACATAAGCATTTGAGTGGAGCTTTAAGGCCAGCTCTGTACAGATATCTGCAGTGTAATAAGCAAGAGATTTACTGCATTTTCTATGGCACAAAGCTTGTGAAAGAAAAGGGCAATAGTGCAAGCGTTCAAGAATACTGAGGACGGACCAGTGGTATGAGATGCTAAAGTGACCAAGGGATTTGAAAACAACCAACCAAAACTACTACCACCAAGGAGTCCCAAGCACAAGCAGAGATACATACTCTCAGGCAAAAACCTCAGCTGCCCAAACACAGAAAGAACCACTAGCGAGGCAGAAGCTCTGAAGGAGAGACCCCAAATCCTGCAAGAGCAATGCAGGTAACCCAGTCAAGCTGAGCTTTAAATCAACAGCATTTGTCCCTTCTGCAACAGTGTAAGTATAAGGAGACACACCAACAGTTTTGTTTGCAACAGATGTCACTGCTGGCAGGGTCAATGAGGTCTCAACTGAGTAATGTCTTCTACATAGCAACATGTAGAAAAGTCCAGAATAGAATTGCAAGACAAACATAAGGTCTAAACTCCATGATCTACACGGGAAGCCTTTAAGGAGATGCTGAGGAGAAAACACACATAACGCTAAAAAAGAAAGAAAATTTTGCATATCCATGATGTTAAGGAAATACACTCAGGATTAGGAAAAAAAAAAACAAACAAACAAACAACAAAACAAACAAACAAACGAAAAAACACCACCAAAAAAAATCAAAACACACACAGTAGTTTCTATTTTCAAAGTATTGGAGAGACCACCAAGGGACATAGAAACCTCTACCAGTAAAGGACATTAAGATCAAGACAGGTAGAAGCGGCACAGGTATGGTTGGTCATGCCTTGGGCCAGCAGGACCCCTTTCAGATCTAAATTTCTATGATCATAAGACAACATGAGGACATTTCACTACATGGCAAGTTGATGTCTCAAAAAAGCAATCACAGGTATTGTTTTGAAAAGTATGCATCTATCGAAAACCACCACTTGCTTGTTCTAAAGGAAATATGAGTGGATTTACACTGCAAATGTTTAGGTTTTTTAACTGAAAAGTACAGTTTGATTTTTCTTGCAACGGATTGTTTCAACTGCTAGGTTATTAGGAGTACAAACATGTTTTAGGATGATGAGACTCCCAAGGGGAAACACCTCCCATTACTGAAACACAGCAACAGGAACCTGCATGTCACATTTTGGACAGAGACTTGATTGTAGCAGGTTATTCTGTGCACCAGGACTGCATGAAAGTGCGCTCTGTGCATTACTTCCCACCATCTAACCTTACGCATTTTAAGTAACTGCTTGGTGTGCATTTTCATGAATAAAATCAGTAAGCTCCTTGGCACACCAACAATCATGCTTACAAAATATTGCCAGACACCTAAGCACAGCCTCTGGACACAAACAAACTAAATGCACAGTACAAGGACATACCAAACACCAAAGGGGAACCTTCAGTAATGGTTGCCACTGCTGCAGTGTTTTCAGTGGATGACCATAACCCTCAAGCCACACCTTATTTACAGTGCATACCTTTCTTGCAGGAACTGCTCTATGTGAACACATTGACATGCAGAAGAAATGCAAATGGAAAAGAATGGCATTCAGTTCACTTGTTAGGCTGGTTATTTTCACATCATTAAAAATAATAGCGGGTTTTTTTCAGATCAGTTTTTGTATTATTCAGCTGCACAAAGCAAATTTTAATTCAGCTTTTACCAAGAAATCAATGACATGAATCTTTCCTATTAAACATAATTTACAGGAGCATTACCACCAGTTACAGCAAAATTAAAAGTTAAACAAGCTAAGACCAAGCAACAACTGTACACATTAATTATAGAAGAAAAACACCGAACAAAATAATTCTGAAGACCTGCCCTGCTCTGTGGATAACTTTATGTCACTACTGGAAAAAACAAACAAACAAACAAACAAACAAACAAAACCAAACAAGAGAGGTAAATACCTTAGCAAACTTGGAGACAAATTTTGAAAGCTTCCTATTAAATGACCAGAAAGATACATAAAAAAAAACACAAAAAGGAAGGAAGTCCTGTGTAAAAAAATGGAATAAACCCCCACAGAATAAATACTAACTCTGCAAATACCTTTGACAGGAATTGATTTAATTATATGTTGTACTGAAGAAAAATCTGTTAATCTGAATTGCCAGTCAACACAAGTGTGTTACGTTGTTCAGACTGTGAAGACAAGTTCAACAGAAAGCAGCTGTGAGGAAAGCTTATACTGCTGTGCTAATGTGCATTTTACACTTATTATTTCCAGCAAAATAAAACAACTCTTAGCATGCAGTGTGGGATGATATAAATGGAGTTAGATATTGTTGACACACTCAAGAAAATTTGAAGATATGGAGAGAAATAACTTGGTTTATATTATAGAAGTATTAAAGAATCTTGTCCTGCAATACCTCACAAATGGAAGCTCAAGAACAGCAATGTGGACACAGTCCTGAAGACAAGACCCCATAAGTTACAGAAGCCCACAGAAGTCTTTCCAGAGTTGCACTGAAATTAGCCAGTATCACACCAGAAAACTATACAGTATCTCCAAGCAGACAAATTACTCCCAGTTTCCAATAATTTTTTTTTTTGCTTTTAAATGTAAACAGTTACAACAGCTGTCCTAGTTTCAGCTGGGACAGAGCAAATTTTCTTCCTAGTAGCTGGGACAGTGCTGGGTTTTAGATTTAGTGTGAGAATTATGTTGGTAACACGCTGATGTTTTAGTTGTTGCTAAATTATGCTTAACCATAGATAAGGACATTCCAGTTTCCCATACTCTGCCAGTGAGGAGGTGCACAAGAAGCTGGGAGAGGTCATGGGCAGAACAGCTGACTCAAGCTAGCAAAAGGGATATTCCATACCACAGGGAGTCATGTTCAGTATAGAAACTGGTGGGAGTTGGCCAGGAGGGGTGAATTGCTGCTCAGGCATCAGTCAGCAGGTGGTGAGCAATTCCACTGTGCATCACTTGTTTTTTCTTGGGTTTTATTTCTCTCTCTTTTTGTAATATTCCTTTTCATTACAATGATTATTATTTATTTATATTGTTGTTATATTTTATATTAGTTATTAAACTGTTCTTATCCCAACCCACAAGTTTTACTTGTTCTCCCAATTCTCCTTCCCATCCCACTGGGAGAGGGGAGGATTGAGTGTGAGTAGCTATGTAGTGCTTAACTTCTGACTGGGGTTAAACCACAACAGGAAAGAGAATGAGAGAAGAAACAAACCCAAGTTTTACATCCCCTCCTCAATACAAACACACAACAGCAATAAAGCAGTAGAAAACAAGTAGATTCCTTGGAGTCGCTGCATTTAAGGGTCAAAATGAGAACAATCCTAGCAGTAGCTTAAGTGAATACACACTCCTACACCCTCAATATTGAGGCTGTAGCAAAAGCAGAAGATAACCTAGCTAGAATCTTTTGCTGGTGTTATGTTACCTGCCAGAAGACAGCAACTCTGGAGAGCAGTGGCAACCTAAGCATACAAGACCTTAAAATACATCCTGAAGCCTGAAAACCATACCCCATCAGCTTTTGCTTTTAAATATTAAAAGAACAACAAAAACAATTCCGCCTTTTTAAGGTGTATGCCATACAACCATCTATAATTACCTAGGCACTATTCGCACAATGTGTCATCTTCTATTTTAGAATTCATACAGTCACTAAGCTGATACTAGCCCCACAAGTAAGTGCAATGAGGTATACGTAATTTGCATTATCTATACAAATTTGTGAGTCTTCAGGACAATATTTACCATACTGAAAAGAGTACACAATGCACAATTTTGTACTTGTAGGTTACTTGCACTTTTGAATCTCACAGATTTCAGTGACTAGTCCTAAATGAAGGGGTTTTTAAAAACATGGAGTAAAATCTCCAGAAAGGCTCACAGTCTGACCAAATAGCTAGTGATCTCGGAGAAAGGGAAAAGAGTTGAAGACAACCGACAGATTCTGTCAGATGCCTTTCCCCCTTACAAATACTTCTCATGCCTTACACTCTACAAGAAGCTGGTGTCAGGACACATCTACAAAGATCTTTATTGGAGTAGAAACAAATAAAAGTCTGAAACAAGTAAAGGTACCAGGAATCAATGAAAAAAGCTGAATAACCGTTACCGTATTTTGCTAATACAGTGCATTTTTGGCAGTTTATCTACACCACCCATTTCATTTAAGTTAGTCTAGAAAGCTTTCTGGAATCCACTTGTAGTCATTCAATTTCAGAGACCAATTACTCCATGTAAACACACCTCTGGCTATATATTAAAAGCTAGTTGAGAATTAAAAGAATCAGAGCTGTATCAACTCAACTTCTTACAGGGTTATACAACCTGAACATATAAAATAGGATTTGTAGTCTAGTCAGTTTTATGATTAAGAAACGAACCAAGGCCACTAGTAACTGGAGCTGCATCTTTAGGTTCACAGCAACAGAAGAGAAGGCTGACATACTGCACTGACACTTTCACTCATTAGGAGATGTTCACCATATACTATTTGATTATTCCTTAAAGTATCTTGGACAAGATTGTCCAGTTACTCTTTCTTAAGCCAGCACTTATTTGCTACGAAGTAAATTCTCACTGAACACTGATCAGAATGAAAGTCAGAAGATGAGGGGCAGATTTCTCCACCAATTTCCCTACTTCCAAGGTTGACTGCAAGACCATTTCCATTAAGTTCTTCACATTCTACAGAGGCCTTTCACAAATAGGTGACAACTGCATGGTATTAGTGACTGATGAATAATGACTTAGAGAATCCTATCTTAGTGTATTTTAATTATGTTTGCACAATTGCATAGGTACCTTGAATGCCTTTTTCTCAGAGAACTTCAAAAAGTAGGGCAATTTTCAGAAACTAGCCAAGTTAAAAAGGTAACAGACCATATGGAGCTCCTCCTTAAATTATCACCAAATCTTAGGAATGTAAGCATCACTGGGCAATTAAATGCAATCTGCAGCTGTATAAACCAAGCTTTAGTCAGAATTAAGGATCCATTTTCTTGATTCACAAATATAGACAAAGCTTTTCTATTTTTGAATATGTGCTCTAGCAAAACTTCACAGTTCACATTTCAAGTGTACCTCCCAATACAAGTATATCAGTAACAGTCAATTGTTTTCTTTGCATTTAGAGAGAAAATATTTCAGTCAGACTATACTTGTTCAGAGGCTCTCCTTCAGATGCCCCTGGCTGCTCAGCTGTTTCTGCAGTCTCTTCCACAGGGGCAGTCTGTTCCATCCCACTGAAACAGTAAATAAAAAAAAAAATAAAGACTTCAAGGGTCACACTGGAAAAAAACCTTGTAGATCAATACACCACTTTTTTTTTTCCTGAATTTCTAGGAATATGAAAAAAAAAAAGAGGAGAAAAACTCTAAGATCATAAGCAGAAAGTAGATCTACTAAGTAACTAGTTGAGCGACTAACAAGTATTAAGAAAATCCAACTTATGTGCTTTTAATCCAAAGAAGTGAAAAGCATGCATGACAACAAAATAATTCAATCACAAATACTAATACCAGTACTTGGTTACAGAGTATCATTGATGTTTGGTTTTGCCTTTTTGTTTCTTATCAGCTATTCAAATGTTAAAATTTATACTCCAAGTTTGTATTTTCTGTAACACGGACATTATTTCACTGCCAAATGGAAACAGTAGCATACTTGCTTTCATCCCACTGGCAGGCATACATATTTAAAATTAACACCACCTAGCTTCGATGCATCACTGAGCATAATTAAAGCACAGACTTGCTTTTAGAATTGTTTAGATAATTCCAATTTAATGTCACTTCTACCACACACACCACATCACAAGAAAGTATTGGTATCTCATGTTTATTTATATCATAAGTTCCAATGCTACTGAACTAAAAAACTTAACTAGGGAGAATAAATACAGGGAATCTTAAATTTCTTTTACTTGATGAAGTTCACACAACCTTCCCTGACACCATACAGAAGCTAATTTTGTGCTTTTGGTCATCTAGCTTTGTGCTATCAGCTCACAACTATGTTAACCTAGCTGATCCTTTGTTTCGAAAAGCCAGACTACTTAAACTTTTACTTTTAGTATGAAATACAGAAGAGATAGAAGTTAGCACAACTTTTCAGAAGAACTTGGAATATCAAGCCCCAAAATTAATACCCATCAATGCTGTATTTTTCAACCTTTTAGCTAAATTGCCTGAATCCACAATTATGTGAATGAATGTGTTCATGTCCAAGTATGTTTGCTGTAAATGCAAAGCATTGCTTTTTCTCTGTCTTTTATCAGCCTTCAATTAAAGTTCTAGACGCCTATGAGAACAAAAGCTACTGGAAAGAGTAGCATATTGCTAGGTGCAAAGAAAAGACAAAAGCCAACATTTCTAGTGAACTTTTTGCAAATTTGAACATAACCAGTAAGAGAAATACAGAACTGAATTGAAAATTCCACATTTTAATCTAACTAACCACTAATAAAACATCACATTCTGCTGCTGACCTTCCTGTGTGCTTTAGAATGTACTTCAGTGGTGGAGTCAGCTAAATATTACCTCCAGAGCCACACTGAACTGTATTATAGCCTTGCAGTTTAGAAATGATCCATAAAACTCAAGAAAAATAGACTGGACTTTAAGCCCACTAATAGAATTTCAATCTTTTAATTGGCATTTTTTAGCAACGTCATTAAATATCAGAGTCCCACTTACTTGACTATTGAGAAAAGTAATTTCACTTAAAAGCCAGCTTGGCCTCATTCAAAAGATTCTGGCAGTCTTAAAGAAACATCACCATGCCTTTGCTACAATTTAATCTCATCAACATGAAGGAGACAAGTTCAGAAAACTGCAAAACTATATTCACCACCACAGTTAATAGAAAACAAGGCTTATAAAGCTCAAAATGAACATGAAACTGATGAACAGAAAATTATGATCTAAGGTGGGCCATGGAAAAAGATGATCTGTGGTGGACACAATGTTTTACCTTGTATCATCTTTAACTGTTCCCCAGTTGCCAGCTCCACCTCCACCCTTTCTGCTATCTGCTTTCATTCCCCTAGAGATAGAAACAGGGTTCTGTGAGTTCAAAAGCTCTTTTTCATTAAGAGCTCAGTTTAAAACCAGTATTAACTTTTTGGCAGCCAATAAAAGAAGGCAACAAAATACCTGAGACACTACTGCACTGCTGACTATTGCCTACTTGTACACCAAGTAATAAGTACACAGAACACTTACATTTTATTGTTCCTACTTTGTTTTTCAAATTCCCGTTTTCCTCTTTGGTCAAAGCCATTGAAACTTCTGTTTATTCCACCACCTCTTCCTCTACCTCGCATTCCACCTCTTCCTCCGCCACGACCTCTTATTGGCCTTTCACAGTCTAATCTTTCAATTGGCCTAAAAAGAAGATTTCTAGTGAGATTTTTGTTCCTACTGAACAGTTAACAAGGAGAAAAAAGAAAAAACAAAACACAAAACAGTATGGTTGTATTTGTTCAGCTGTGAGAGACAGCAGTATATGAAAGCTACTGTACAAATTTTAAGTGCATCTTTACATAGCATACAGTACAGTTGCATTAGTTTTGTCATTAAAAATGGACATAAACTGAACTCAGGGGGAAATATTACATATAACAGGAATAGAAATTTCAGCTGTTTATTGATAACACTGAAAATATTAGAGAAATTAAATAAAACATTATAAAACTGTCAAATCTTTAACAGGTAGTAGCTCCACTAAGCCCAAATTTATATGCACTGCTAAAAATTTCAGGTAACTTATTAAATACCAACTATTGCAATGTAAACTAAGAGCAGCCACACACTCAAGCAGCTACAGTTTAAGTGGAATTTTCTTGTGCTTATAAAGAAAGCAAAATTGATATGCATTCACTATCCAAGCAGTAAACAGTATAACAAAGGTTTATTTTCAGTTTGAATAGTAAAATTTATTCAGCTTGGAACCCACACCACATGTTCCGCAAAGCTTGGTACGTGAGCCCAGAAATAAACATTTATGTTGCAGAACAGGGGTTATGTTTGCAGATATTTATACTTTTCAGTTTTGCCTTGTATTTCTAACATTTAACAAAACCGCTCCAAACCAACCTGCAAGGAAGCTGAAATTACAGCTGACGGGCATGAACCAAGTCATACTGCAACAAATCTACACATAAATAACGCAACCATGCCTTCAAGTCACATTTGGCTACTAGATTTGTATTACGAAGGTTAAGTCTTTCCCTTCTCACCCCTGTGCAGATCCCCCACGAGGTACGTTACTTCTCCCTGTGTTGCAGTTACCTTAACAAAATAGCTTGAATCCTAGAATATTGTTTTGATTTTAGTTTAAAATATGGCTTTGATTTAAAAGGGAGTTATAGCAGCTATGAGAATATATGATGTGTTAAGATCTTAGGAGCAACTAGCACTGTGTTTGCCTCAATTACTATGGAAATCGTTATGGACTCTGAATCAAAACAATGGGTACTGGTTATGGAACTTCATTTGAACCAACAGGTACCAGAAGAGACTGGGTTTGGTTGGGAAGATCAGCCAAAGATAAAATGAGCATGCGCAGGGATGGAGTTCAATCAGCAGACACAGTGATGAAGACTATCGACGACCACCAGAGGACCCCCGTCCAGTATAACCACGCATGCACTAGGGACACTTGCATATGATAATGGTTTACAGGAAATAACATGAATATGCTGATCATTACCCTCCCCTCATTCTATTCAAATCAATCAGTAAAGATGACCAATGATTTCTGTAGAATAGGAATATAGGTAAGGTGAGGTAACTGAAAGCCAATCATTATTAAGGTCAAACTAAACTTTGTGAATTTTATTGATCTCATGTAATCGTGACTCTGCTGAAAAAGTGTATAAATACGTTGTGCCTTGTACCTGTTGGTGAACACGTTTTTTTGGTGGAGCTATCCCCTGTGTTCCCCAGCACTGGAATAAAGAAGTGCCTGCTTATCTGCTGTGTGTAGATAACTTCTATTCGCGATTGCGACCGCTAACACCTGTATGATACATACCTTTCTACTCCGAATTCCACTTGTTTCTCTGGTTCATAGGGATGATATTCCCTAAAAGACGGTCTCCATTCAGTTTTGTCTTGTTTTAGTTCTGCTCCTCTGTTATTGAATCCTTGCTGTTCTCCCCGCTTAGGTGCTCGCTTCTGGTCTACACAAACATACATATACGTTAACAATACTTTAATAATAACTGAATTGCAGTTACCAATCTACTGACTGAAATAAGTTGATTAGAGTCTTCTGCTTTACCCTCTCCAAGCCCACCAAAATATTAAAAGCACTTACAAGTTAATGTTGACAGACACCATGTGTTTTAAAGACAACTACTTACTTTGTCTTCTGTATTGATAAACCTGCCTCAGGCAAAAAACACTACGGGTATTGACACAGCTCAGATATTTCCAGAAAAGACAGGTTGAAGAAAAATCTCATTTTGATCATATTATGTCACAGAAATGGAAAACAAAAACTGTTTCTCTCATGTTCTCACAAAGATCCTATAGGACAATGCAGAGAAGCTTCAGTGGAAGATATGAATTGCAATATAGCTGCAGGAGCAATGAAGGTCGGGGAAAGAGAAGGACTGCTAGAGACAGGCATTAGTTGTTGATCATGAGACAACACACCTCCTGCTTGATAAGCTGAATTTAGAAGTCTAAGCCTGCACCTCTACTTTAAGCTCACAGCCATGGTATCCAACAACCAGAAGAGGGTCACCTCCTTTTACCACTGTTCTATGGAGGAAAGGACCATTCAACAAGACTACAATACAAATCACTGAGTTTGAGTGACAGAAACCCAAGCAGTAAGTACAAAGGCTCCTACACCACTAATTGATTCTAGAATGCCAACGTATTAGAAGAAAAATCATATTTAAGCTTTTTGTGGTTTTGTTCAGTCACTGTTGGGGTTAAGGAGGAGCAGGTTAGGCAGAGTGAAGGCAGAGAAATTGTATATTTATATGAGAGAATAAATTGAGGTTATCCACTCAACCCGTATACATTTAAGCATAAGTTTAAAATCCATTATGTGCTTCCTTCCCCATTTTCCCAAATTCTGTACTCTATTTGGGACAAAATTCTCCAGAAGCAAATAAGTCTTTTGTCTGCTAGGCCCTTATACTTACTCGATTTGCTGAAAGGTGTTGGTTTAAATCCATCACGCAAGGAACTCCAAAAACACTGCTCTCAGACCAACAAAACTGAGCTAGTCATTCCACAAGAAGCACCTGTGCAATGCTGAGCAAGTGTGCTGGGTTTGTGTGGCAGAGTTGTTGGTAGCACAGAAGGGTGGCCCTTGTGAGAAGCTTCTTGAAGCCCCCGAGCTCCAAGTCAGACCCACCTCTGGACAAGGCCAAGTCAATTAACAACTGTGGCTGCGCCTCTGCGATAACGTGTTTAAGAAGAGGAACCTGGAAGGAGGTACGGGGACTTGTGAGGAGGAGTTATGAGAAGGACACCTCTGTGAACACTGAGGCCAGTGGAAGACAGGAAGAGGAAGGGTTGGGGGTGTGCCAGTGCAGAGCTTCCCTTTATCCCAAGGTGAGAGTGCAGGGCCACCCCCCACTACCACCCAGGAAGGTCACTGGTGGAGCAGAGACTGACCTGAAGCCTGTGGAGGACCCTACACAGAAGCAGAAAGCCGCACCCAAAGGAGGCCGGGACTCTGAGGGAAGCAGCCACCCCCGCTTTTGTAGTTTGGTGCTGGGAAGGCTGCAACACAGGGGGGTGATCCATGCTGGATCAGCTCCGGAATGGCTGCATCTCTTGGGGAGGACTCAAGTCACAGAAAATTCATGGAGGACTGTCTCCTGCGAGAGGGGAACCACACTGGAGCAGGGGAAGAATGTGAGGAGTCCCATCCCTCTGGGGGAAGGAGCAGCAGGACTGACTGCACTCCCCACTCTCTCTCCCTGCACCACCGAGGGGGAGGAGTGAGAGAGACTGGAAACAAAACTGATCCCTGGAAGAACGGAGGGGTGGGGGGAAAGTATTTTTTAAGATGTGTTAATGCTGCTCACTGTCCTACTCTGCCTGTTAAGTGGTGTTGCTGTTAGTGCTTGAATTAAAGCAACAATCTTTTTCTTTCCCTAAGGAGTCTTGTCTTTTGTCCTTGACCCTAATAGGTAAGCCACCTCTCCCTGCCCTTATCTTGAGTCCTGAGCCTTTTGCTTTATTTTCCTCCTTCCCATTCCTGAGGGCTGAGGCATGAGTGCATGGCTGCATGGTGCTCAATTGCCCTCTGGGCTCACACCATGACACCCACCATTCCCCACCTCAACACTGCCTCCCCAGGAGGTTGCCACAGCAGCCCAGTCTGTTGGCTGAGTTGCCTGTCACTTTACTTTCTAAACTGAGGAATCAGAAGAGAAATCTGATGCTTAAACTGTTTGAACAGATCCAGCTTTTTTTTCAAAGGAAGCAGCCAAGCTACTATGATAAAGACATCTGTCAATACTGAAATTACCAGGTACTAGAACTAGACATTGCTAAAGAAAAAAGCCCAGTTTTACAAGCCATTGTTAAAATTCTAAATCATACAGAGCTAACTTAAGTAGTCTTCACTTTCCCCACAATAGTACTTCACTACCACTATTAGTTTTGTTTACACTGCAGCATTTTGCTAGGAAGACTTTCATAGAAAAGTGGTTTTAATAAGCATGTATCACAGAATTTACAACTGGGAAAGCGGGTGTATTTTTAAGACCTGCATTGCCTGATTTCCCAGACACTGCATTGCTATGTATTAACAGGCAGATTTGAAAGAACGCAGCAAAATCTAGCTGCCTTTGCAGTGCTGTTGTTTAGCTCTCATCAAGTTTCTCTACCCATATCTTTTGCTTGGGAAGAGAGAGTTTTCTGGGTTTTGTGGGCTTCTCACTGGCCTCCACTAAGACAGCATACACTCTTTTTAATTTTTAGTTTTACGGTAAAAACATTTTTTGTGCAACAAACCTTGAGTTTAAACAAGCCCTGCAAGAAGCCCGGCTTGCAACTGCTATCAGTGACTACAAGCTAGAGCAGAAATCTTGCTGTTTCCCCCATTCCCTTATGTAAGGAGAACCTGAGAGGTGAGGGTGCCACATGGCATGCAATTCACAGGCTGAGGGACATTACAGCTGCAGAGAGCACCAAAACATCATATTCTGACCTAAAATCCAGCTGACAACACTGCACTGTAGTGTTTTATGAGTTCTCACAAGCCTGAGACCAACTCATCCCACCAAAATAGGTGACACTCACACCCAGTGAGACAATTCCATCCATATTCCATTTTTACAAATGCAGCCTGGAATGAAGAAGTGCCAAACAATGAGCTGTTTCTATTGTGTCCAAGTAGCACACACAGAACAGAGCAAAAGCAATCCGTGTGTAGTTTTGATTCAGTTAGGATAAACATTAGAGCACCCATAGTAGCCAGATGGAAAACTTGGGTATCTCATAGCATGAATCTGAAGAAAGAAAAAGTAGCAACAGCGTATTTACCATCTGTCAATCTACACTTAGTGGTTTTCACAACCAAAGTCTATAGGCGTTGATTTATGGAGGATAGATCCCTAGATGGACTGCCATGTCTATACCCAGAATACTGTCTGAATAGATATATACTTTGATATATCAACGTCACCCTACAGCAAGAAGGGCCACAGGTCAATTACAGTCTCTGAAGAAAAAGCATTCTTTTTCCTTATTTCACAAAGTCTGTCTGAAAGTACATCCCTTTATTTCTGTAAAATAGGAAAAAATAAATATTCTTTACCTTCTCTGAGCCTCACCTGCTGTTCTATATACACTCCTTTTGTATCCTCAGACACTTCCTCTCAAAAGAAAAACCTTCATTTAAATTTCTCCCAATACAAAAACATTCTAAGTTTCATCATGCATGTCACTCTAGTATGTTTTTTCTAATTTTAACATCTTTAAGGTGACCAAAAGTGTAGACACACTTTGAGATGTGGGAAGGTGAGATTACTTCAGAGGCATAACAATTCCTTTACTATCTTCCTTGATACTGCTACTTCAGTAATTCCCAACACTGCTTATCTCCTAGATGGCAACTGGAAATAAACCTGCTGTTCTACTCTTAACAGTCTCAATCATTCCAAGCTCTTTTTCCTGAACTACAGTATTTTGAACGAGAAAAATCTTTCACATTGCAGTATAGTTTGCAATGCTGCCTCCCACCTCAATCCATGTTCTCCTATATGTATTACTTTACACTTACTGATAGTGAATTTCCTCTCATTTTATAGCTCATTTACAGAATTTGTGTCATTGCCCTGTAACTCTTCTACTGGGCTAAATAACCTTGTACCAACAAACTTCAGTTATTTATTCCCCTCATAGCTCTTTTAGCACAGCTTTTCCACCCACCTACATATATGGAAAATAAGTAATTTAAACTATGCTTAATATTTTTCATTTCAAACAAGTTTCAGCTGCCTTGTAGATGTTAAAACAAAGCTCACAGCAGCACAATCACTGGTCCTAAATTCAGATCTCTTTCCACCTACTCCGAGACCCTTTTTTCCTCTGCTTTCAGCTTAAATCTGACCCTCAAAAACAGTTTAATGAGAGTTCAGAGGAAACAAAGTAGGTACAAAAACCAAACAGGAATACTGTTCTGGTTGGTCTAGAATAAGGGCAAGTGGAGAAATTGTGCTGTAATTCAAGGATCTCTGTCATTAATTATAGCTGCATGAAAAGATACTATTTCATTACCATGTCAGCAACACAATAATACCTATACGAAGACAACTAATCTTCCTTTTACAATAAAGCTCCATACCTGGAAATAGTAGAAGACAGTTTACACTTTCAGGGACTTATTTTGCTATATTTCATACTATAGCAGATTTAAGACTCTGCAAGCAACCTTACTTCCTCACTCTTGCATGTGTGTGTCCATGCAAGTTTAATTCCAAACTTCAGGCAGCTAATTTTGTGAACTAAAGCATTGCTAATTACATGGTTTGCAGAATACCAACACAGTATCCCAAAACACAAAAGAAGGCCTCAGCTATCACATGCAATACACCAAAGAAAAACACATGGAGTTAGACTATTCTGTGCTGCTTTGTTTCCATGTTTGCCAGTACTCGGTTACAGAATTGCCTACTGCAGCTTTCCTCTGGACAATCCTTATGACTATGTAGCTGAAAGAATGATACCGGAAAAAATTAATTAAAAGTAAGAAAACTGCAGTTTAAAATAAAATATATTTTCAGTATAAAATAAAATTTCCCAGAAACATTCCGTGACATAGTAACTTCAAGTCACAGCTAAAAACTCAAACATGTAGTATTCAGGACCTACATCTAAATGTTACACGAGTCATCAAATGTACATGGAAGAAGAAAACCTTTTAGAGGTATTAACAACAAAGGTTTAGAGATTTCAACTGAACAGAGCTTATTACTGCATGATCAACAAATTTAATTTGCCTGGACCGGTAAAGAATGCAAGCTCTGCAACTAGGCCTTTTGAACAAAGAGCTGCAAATGCAGTTTGGCCACTGTGCTAAGAATGAACCAAGTTAACGTTAAGTGGTACAATTACAAGGGCTGTAATACCTACAAACTGCCTTTACCTAAATCCTCAGCATACAGTCTAAAAAATCACAAAACAATATAGTCAGTAAAAAAAAAAAAAAGATACATCATTAAGGTCGAAAATGTAGGTTTTGGTAGGCTACAAAACAGGAGTCTATTTTCTCCTTAAAGAAAGATTAAAACCCAGTCTCCTTACAGCTGTGTTAATTCATAATAAATAGTTTGGATTCTAAAGATCAAAGTACTGGATTATCTGGTGAAGTCCTCTTAGGAGGTCTGTTTCAAATTGAAAACTTCTCCAGAAATTAAGTAGTAATTCCTCTGGAAAAGGCAGTGCAGAACTAAAAAAAATGTCGATTTACAGAACTTTTTCAGTAAACCTTGCACTCTAACATCAAAATATAGAACCAAAGGTCCCTCAGACTACAGTAAAACTTTTTATATATTGCAAAATGGAGTACTAGGCTTGCTTCAAGTCTTTCTAAAACTAAAGACTATTTTGTTCAGATTTTATATGCTCAAGAAATGGCACAGTAATAAAAATAAAAATTAACAAGTCTTCTTGTAACCCAAACAAGCAGAACACCCCAGTAATCAGACAAGAGTCTGGAGGTCCAAAGGAGGGCCGTGAAGATGATCAAAGAGCTGGAGAGCCTGCCCTATGAGCAAAGATTGACAGAGCTAGATCTCTTCTCCCTGGAGAAGGCTCAGTGTGGGGCCATATCACAGTACTGCAGAACTGGAAGGGAAGCTTCAAAGAGGATGGAGGCTCTCTCTTCACAAGGAGCCACATGAAGACAAGGGGCAACAGGTACATGTTGCAAGAGGAAAGGTTTCATCTCAGTATCAGAAAGAAATTGATAACAATCATTCACTGTAGCAACATCACCAGGGACATGTAGTCCCTGTTACTAGAGATTTTCAAGATGAGACTGGAAAAGGTGCTAGATGATCTCATCTAGGCTGCCTTTCCCAGGAAAGGTTGGACCAGACAATCCTTCCAGGTCCCTTTCAACCCAGGTTGTTCTGTGATGATCCTAAAAACACTAGCACAATTACAGACTTAATTTTGTCATTTCAACCATAATACCAGAATCTGATTCTGCTGTTCAGATGGCTCTAGATGCTTCTTTGTGGTGTCTAATTCCTAATCAGTGAAATTAAATTAGGTGGAGTTATGCCCAAAATCTGGAGGGAAAAAAAAACATATAAAACCAAAACGAAAACCTAAGAAAGACAAAAACTTAAGTTTATTGAGTTTGGAGCTTGATTCAGTTTGGGTTTTTTTAAATACAAGCTTGGTCATTAGTTTCACAATTTAGTAATTTTAATCATTAATATTTACTTCCCTAAACAGAGATGCACTCTTCTGGCAATGTGTCCATCATTTTAAGTTTTACACCAAACTGAGTTTGGTATGAGGACCTTTCAGAGTGATTACTCATTCTCAGCCAATAAGCAGATAGTTCTCTGAATCTTGTACTGTATCCAGAAGCTCTCTGGTGTAACAAATCAAGACTGTATGGCCTAAATAAAAACCCGCACCACTTTCTTCAAGGAAACCCCTAAATTTTTCCCTCAACCTGCCACTTGCATTATACTTGCCAGGTACACCATATCCCTGTATTTGCCCCAAGTCAGAGGGTGATCTCTGTCCTTTAGAGCAGGCTTGTTAAGACAGCACATCCAAAGAAGGAGCACACAGACAGGGTCAAGTCTCAACTCTCTGCCCTGATTTAGTATCCCAAGCACTACACATTTACAGTAGTTACTTCACAACAAGCCCAGGACATAAACATACAGCACATATAAAATCCAGGATGGCCACTTTCTTCAAATAAAAAAGTGCAGCATTTTTCAGAGCAAGTAACTCTTCATAAGATAGATGTTAATTCACTTCCACAAAGGAAGCAGTCTTTTCTCTATTTTAAATTCGCATCAAATTAAAACAAGGTGCACATGCCTGATGTGTCTATATGACAAACCAGGTATCTTAATATCAAGGTAGCAGCAAATAGTGAAAGACACTCCACTGGGTTCACTATGCGTTACCACAGAATTACACTCTGAACCTGCATGCTTAAGATACCACCTGTAGACAAGTAGGAGGTAAAGGAGGTGCTTCATAAACTTCCATGTTCTTGGTAGGTTACTGATAGCCACCACTTCTTATTCAAAAACCTTTTCATCAAAACTTGAGACTCTGCTGTTCACTGAACATGCTCCTTTGGCTTCTGCTGATAACCACAGCTAAGTATCCCTTAAATTAAACAAGCCTGTTACTAGTGTGAGTGCTGGTCTTACAGGCACATATCTCTAACAGAGTCACGTAACAACCACAGACAGGCAGTGACAACTTAAGTTCATCCTCTACAAAGATGCTCATTAACTTAGTGCATATTTGGCATTGAAAGATTCTCTGCTCCACAAGGTCAAATAATCGCTGTTGGAGCAGTGTAAGACTGTAAGTCTAAGCAGTAGAATTGGCAGCACTGGCATCAGCCTGATGGAGCAAGAACCCCAATTCAAAGGCTACACCTTTTTCTAGGGCATTAAAAAGGCATAGTTCTGTTACTGTTAATTTAACAGGAGCTTTTCCTACAGGAAGAAGTTAATACCTTAAGAACAATTAATGAGTTAAAAGCTCCATTGCCCACTGCAGGAGAATGGGAATTCACAACTCAAGACGGTAAAACCAGAGTTTTCTGTGCAGAGATTCTCAATGTTTGGAAACCATCAGCCAGCTCTCAGATACTTTAGATACTGAATCCAGCAACGTGCAGCTCAACACCAAGTAAGTAATAACAACCAGACTCACAAAACCACCTCCAAATGCAAGGAGCTATAACCCAGAAAAGCCTGCAGCTGCAAAGAGGACCATGCCAGACATTCTGACAGAAAAGCTGACTGGCTCCCTATTCCCCCAAGCAACATTTACCACAAAAACCTAGCAGCTGACAAAGGACCTGGACCATTCCTGAACACTGTGCTAAAGAGTTCACCCCGTAAATAAGTTTTTATTCAAAGGTTTGGGCATCAGTGCAAGCTTAAATAAAACGAAGCACAGGTCCCCCGGCACGTTATAACCCTGAAGAAGCTGAAGTGCCAGAAAACTCACAGATACTAAGAAAACAAGCCTGGAAGCATCCAACACCAGAGGAAAATGGGCAGGGTGACAAGAGGTAAAACCCATTAGCAGGGATGCTAAACCAGCATGAAAACGACAGGTGCTGTAGTGGAAGAGTTAATGCTCTTCCATCTGTCTCTTGGGGTATTTCTGAAGTTTCCGTTTACACACCTAAAGGCCCCGTTTCCCCCCTGAAGCCCCCCGCGTCGGCCGGGTGCCCAGGTCCGGCCGCCCGGGGTAACGCCACGGTTGCCTACTCGTTGGCAAAAAAGCCCAACACCCAACGAACTAGGTTTTCCCAGCCCTGCTTTAATCCCGCTACCGACAAGCGGCCGCGCCCCAGGGCCCGGGCTGCCCAAACCGGCACCTCACTCCTCGGGGAAACCGGCTGCCGGACGGGCCCCCGCACCCCGCCCCGCCGAGGAGCCGCCGCCAGCGTACCGGGCTGCGGCGGCCTGCCGTGGGCGGGAGAGCTGCCGGGCTGCTTGCGCTCCTTCTGGGACTCCCTCTTGCCTCCGCCCGCCCTGCCGCCGGGGCCGGCTCTCCGGGCCGAGGCCGCCGCCGCCTCGTCGCGCTTCTTGCGCTGCTGCTGGCGGCGCTCGGCCTCGCGCAGGATGTCGAAGGGGTCCGACTCGTCGTCCAGGAGCTGGTAGAAGCGGTTGGCGACGGCGCAGCCGAAGCTCTCCTGCATGACGGCGGCCACCGGGTCGCCCACCGTCCCCTTCATCATCGCCGCGGGCGGGCGGGCGGACGGACCTCCCCCAACCGCTCGCCCTCCTCGGCTCTGCGGAGCTGGCGGCGGAGCTGGCAGCTGTGCCCAGGGCGGCCGCTGCGCGGGGCCGAACCCGGGAGAGCGGCGGAGGGGAAAGGGCTTCGGCTCCAGCTCGGCACTACCGAGACCGCCGCAACGTTGCCAATGCCCCGCCCTTCGCCGCGACGCGGCGCGACAGCCAATCGAGTTTCGGAGCTCCACAGCAAGCCCCGCAGCCTCCCACCTATCAGCGCCGCCGGCCTAGACACCCCCTTCGGCACGCGAGGCCAACGCTAAATAATGGCAAGGGGGAGCAGCCAATCCCGTCTTTAGGCTCCGCCCTACCCCTGACGTGTGGCTGCGGCCAATTAGCGTGCAGCGCCAGCACCGTCAATAATGGCCCTCTGACCAATGCCGTGTGCTGCGCGAGGCGCTCGACCCGACTAATTATTCATGACTTGCCCATTATTCATGAGGCGCCGCCACCGCCCGCCGGTGCCCGGGACGCCGCGGCGACGGCGCGGGGCCGGGCAGCGCCCCGGCTGCTTGTGCGCATGCCCGGGAAGGCCGTCTGGTCTAGAGTTTGTAATCTGATGTCGCGACGTTACCGTGTCGCCAGCAGTCCTGCCATAGAATTCTCGTCCACTTCAGCGGCTGCAAGGAACCGGCGGAGCACAGCGGCCGGGGCGGCTCCGCTTTAGGGGGCCGGCACGCTTGCAGACGCTCGCCCGCAGTTCCCACGGGGCTCCTGCATTGCCCCGGTCTGCCTGGGCGCGCGGCGGCGGCCGTTGCACCGGCCGACCTCCGCCAGCACGTCACTGCAGCCCTGATTTCTGTGACGAGGCTGCGGTTCCACCCTCGCTAACGCTTTCTCTCTTACGGCAACTTCGCTGCGCACCTCGTCTTGCTTTGAAACTCACCTTACCCTTAAAGTTTAACAAACCTGGAAACTAAATCAGACTCCCCGCTGCCTTTCTAAAGGCAGGCATCGTAACAGCCGCCGCCTTCCTCCGGCTCAGACTGCCGGCAGCGCGGCTCACACCGCCGTAAACCAAAACACGGTGCATCCTCTGCACATTCCTCCAAGCCCCGAGCATAATCACCGTGTCTCCTCCAAGTTTCACACATACCCGCTTACGCAGGGCATGCCTCCTACACGACAAAACTAATTCCGTTAGACGGTGCCCCTTCCTATCTTCTTCCTCGTCCGAGACATAACAAACAGTTGCGCATCAACAATGACAGCAGCTGAGTTAGGGCTATTATCTGCTCACAAGCAGCTTTACAAAACCCTGGTAGTCAAGTCGGATCTCTCAGGCTCAGTTATTCTTCAAACTGAAGCAGAAAATTAATTCTAACTGGGCAAAGGGAATATATTTCTGCACTGTTCTTAAACTGAAAAAAAAAAAAATAGCCATAATTAACAGCAAAACAAAAAATTTTTCCATTAATATGATACAGTAATAAAATGATGTGTAAGAAATATTTATCTAGATCAACTGTGCTTGCCGCTCAATAGTTGCTTTATTTTGTATAAATATGAAGCTACATGTATTTTCAGTGACAAGAAGGAATTGGAAAGCTACTTTGTGCTGCTCTAGCCAGGAGAAACACATTAACACTACCACATTCTCACAGCACATCAGGAAAAAACTTCCACCAATTCTTTTGCAGGCCTTTGCGGAGCCTTTTGTCATCGTTCACGGTGTTCACGCTGGATTTTTTCAACATTGTATCCAGAAAGCTTTTTAGAAATTTTTGAAACATTATTTTTATTTAAAATATTCTACAAGCTTGAATCAAAGCCTCCTGAAGTTATGTTGCACATGAAAGACAGAAGACAAAAGGGTGTCATTACTGACTGTAGAGACAATGTGCTTGCAGTTTTAATCGGCATTTTGAAGATCATAATATCTTTGGAGAGGGACAAATATGAGGCATTCAGAAATATTTCAGCAGTAAGATTAGAGATTTGGTGTTTTGTGGAATCTGGCTTTGTTTTCACAAAGTTTCAAAAGAGGAGGGAAAAAAAAAAAAAAAAGTATGACTTCTCAGAGAGATTTCACAATGATAGCCCAAGATAGCACTAGTTATAAACCAACCTTGTCTTTGTCTGTATAATTCTGTTGTCTAAAATTAATGTAAACCTTTACAAAAAGTTCTTAGCTTTCTGATGCTCTGAGTTAGTGATCAAAACAAAATTTCTGTAATATGGTTTTCCAACTCCAAACATATTAGAAACCCTGCATGGCAGATTGAAGCAATCTGTAATCTCTTAATTTGCAGTTTTTTACTATGTGCAATCAGTGTGTGATTGTCCAGTTACATACTTAGACAAACAGCAAGAGATGGACAAAAGGAACCTGGGGTTTATAGCTGACATGAAACTAAACATTTTGCTGTAATTTTTACACTGAACACGTAACAGTGATGGATTCCGTATGACTCCATATTTGCATGCAAAGCCTGAGTCTCACATTTGCAGTGCCGAGCACAGGTGCCCAACCTTTCTGACACCAGATTACTCACTTCATTCAAGATGAGGGCTGCCTGGCAAAGTTGCTCCTCCATCCAGGTTCTCTCCGCAAGTGGATTTTTCACATGCGCAGAACAGCAGCCCTACACAAGATTCCCAAGCAGGTATAGATATGGAATATGGCACCATTACCAAAAGACCCCTTGCTTATTTTTTATCTTTTTTTTTAAAGGTGCATAATTACAGGAGACAGAGAATTGCAAATGGAGGCAGATGTTCCTCTGACCTTTACGGCTAACCAGTTAATCACCAGAGAGGGGCAATCTGTCCTTGACCTTTCCTACAGCCACAAATCTCATCCTCCAGTGCCTAAATCTCCCCTGCCTGGAATAGAAACATCCCAAACCCACTACAGGGCCTAAGGTCCCATGCTGGGCCAGGGTGCCCGAACAAGTAGAGGGTAACACTCTGTCCCTCAATGGATCTAGCCATCACATATGTTTTCCAGCAATGTAATTCTACTGAACACAATTGACTAGATAAAGTTGTAAAATGAGCAGTAAAGAGCTACATCACCAAAGATGGACCTGTTCATGGTGACTACTATTCTCTTTCCTTCACAGGAAGCAATGGGAGTTTGTCTTTGTTACCAGCATGCTTGCCTCACCGTTTCCTTCCCTCTGGAACATCCAGCAGCTGATCTCAAGCTACTAACATAAGCAACTTTATTGTCTTGATATATTGATTTGATATAAAGCAAAACATGGAAAATGTAATAATAAACACTTAGATAAAAGATGTTATGACCGTTGCTAATTTATTATATAAATTGATATTAAACATACAATAAAGTTATCTGCAGTTTGGCTAAGTATTTGCTGTTACCTATCTAAAGGCCATCACTCTCTCAAAGTTTTCCAGTTTGAACTTTGGAATATCACTAGAAATGGTTGAAGCATGCTTCAGAGAGACAAAGTACCTTCTTTCCTCTTTGCTTATCATGTATTTGTGTTCTGTTTGAGAAATACAGCATTTACTTACCTCAGATAGTTGTTCTACTTTTTATTTCCAAAAGAGTTTATTATCCTCAGAGTCCTGAATTGTGATGTCCTTCTTGAGTCTGACTAGCCAGATAGAACACAGGTACATTTTCCTTGTTTTCTATTGAATTCCTGCTCCCTATCCTTTCACTTTTTCTGTATTATGTTGTGTGTAATAAAAGGTATGCTTTGTTGTAATAATGAGTAGGATTCGATCTGATTGTAGGCTACACAATGTTTCATTATCTTGGTCCTTCACCTCCGAGAGAGAACTTTTTCTTGCTTTTACACTAACACTAAAATATTAATGCATTTATACATCAAGCTAGTAGCGTAGCATCAAAATACTATCAAGAGCAAATATCTTTAATATTGCTGAGAATCTATAGCTCAGATGATTACTTTAGAACTGCTTTTACACAATGTTACATGAACTATTAATTTAATACGTATGGCTGTACTGAAAAGCAGTGTGTTTTAAGCCACTTAGGCCACGTGTATTCTGTGTGCATGTTTCCTCTCCCAGGACCAGGATCAGGACAGAGAGGTCACTTCTCTCTTTTCAGTCACTGCTATTACTAAATGAAGCACTATTGTTCAGAGCGGTTAAAATATCGAAAGTGGCATCAGCTCACCTCTTCCGTCTCTTGTGCTGCCTCCATTAGCAAAGATCTATTAGTTGGCAGTAGAAAGATTTACAAAACCCGTGCAAATACATTAATCGGCTGTCAGGCCCTTGAGTGTCATTACAAAATTTAACTTGTACACCGAGGTGGCATAGGATAGGTATGGAGATATTCAGTTACTTGCAATGCTTTGCACCTTTCGCAATATCCAGAATTTTATGTACCAAATCATAACATTAATTCTATCGATCGCTGGAGTTCTTCAGCAGCTGCATGTACTGCTTGAGGCATCAGCCATGTAGTTTTGGAAAGTTATGAAGGGTATTCACTGTTTGGTTTTGGGATGGAGTTATTTTAACAGGAGTCTTTTTTTTTTTCCACCCCAAACTGATTTTGACATATCTTTCTGTATTACCACTCCTCTACAACATTGTTCAGTTACCAGAAGTGTCTTACATGGGTTATTTTCAGGGCTGAAGCTTTTTAAGTGGGTCAGATCTAAACACATGGAAACTGTTTGCTCATTTTGGAAATGAAAGTTACAGGCTGTAATGTTTTCTTTCTGGCCTGGTAAGGACAGCCTGACCTGGCAGAGCAGTGGTAGGACTTTGACATGTAACACCTTGCTTGAGAGGCTGGGGTATCATTACTATGAACAAGAATTTACCTATGCAGAAATTAGGTGGGGTGTTTTTTGTTTGCTTGTTTGTTTTAGTTAGTATAAACGGATAGTTGTGACAAACTGAATGTAACGGCATGTAATGTATGTAATACATAATGAAAGGGCTGTCTATCTCTGGATGGATACTGCAGTCCAGTACTACAGTCTCTACACTGGAAGAACTGGTAGGAGTTTCCCACTATCCGGAGAAGGGTCAGTTAGTAGTCATACACTGCAGATTTGCTCTTCCCTGCACTTGTTCTTGTCAGCAGTGATGGTTGCTAACACTCTTACATGGCAGCAGTCTGCAGCATTCAGACTGCAGTGAACAAAGCAGAACGGGGCAAAACCCCTTTGCTGTTTTTACAGCTTCACAGTTTCTTTGTGCTCTTGATATTTGTCTCAAAATTTACCTATTAATGTAAGAAATGTGATTTACTTATTTTGCAACCTGTAACTAGTCAGTAAGACGCACTGTGATGGTGGCAGTGAGGCAAAAGCAGCATGTTAACTTAATGCTACTGGTTAGCTTCAGCATAAAAAGCCCACACCAAGTGCCAAGAAATGTTCTCCTGCTTTAGAACAGTGAGATCTACTGCTTACAAAATATGCAGGAAAGCAGCATAAAATAAATGAAGTACTGCTGTTGTCCAATAACGCTAAAGCCTTTTTGGTGTCAAGGAACCAGATTTCCAAAGGATTTAGTAAATGAGGCACAGTGGCTAATCACAAATTTAAAAACTGATGATAGAATGTTTCATGTTTTTACCCGCTACAGCCACATCAGCATATGCCACCGTATTTCCAAATCATTCCTCGGTACCAGCAAATCTTTTGCCGGACAGCCGCATACCTCTTACTCACACAAATGAGTTAAAGCCAACACAAATCCGTGTCCTGTGGCTGGGGGAGCTTTGCACCCAAGCCGACCTGCAACCTCTCCGCACGCAGCACTTTGTGCTAGCAAGCTGCAGAACTAGGCTGGGTCTCGGTTTCAAAGGACGGAGGCTAGAAAGCTAGATTTTAAGATACTGTTTTAGTCATCACTGTATAAATACCGGAACAGTCACATGAGATTGTGAGGGGAAAAAAAAAAAAAAACAAAAAACAAAAAACAAAGAAAAGCAACCTGCCTCTCAAACAGCAATACACTAAGATCGGTAACCTAAACAAACTTTTAATGCCACGTCCCTGAGAAACCTCCTGAAATTCCCGACGGGGGCCGGTAAGGCAGCCGCGGCCCGGGGCAGCCCCCGCAGCTGCTCGGCCCGTCTCCTGCCCGCTTCCCACGATCCTGGGGCAGGGGCCCGTTGCTCTGCAGCTCCAGGGCGGAGGGCCGGGCTGGGCCAGGCCGCCGGCGGCTAACGGCTACCCCCGGGGGTCCCTCCCGCCGGCGCTCCGCAGCCGTTACGGCCGCGGTACCTCCCGGGGGGGGCGGGAAAGCGGCAAGCGCGCTGCCAGCTCTGCCCGTCACAGAGGGGCAGGGGATCCCCCCCCGGCCCCCCGCCGCGGGAAAGAGAAGCCGCCGCTGCAGCGGCCCCTTTAAACCGGGCGCGCGCCAAAGCGCCCCCCGCGCCGATTGGTCCGGACACCCCGGCCGCGGCCAGCGCGCGCGCCAAGCCCGCCCGTGCGCGCCAGCCCCGCCCCCCCCGCCGTGGCGGGCCAATCAGCGACTCCTCCAAGCAGGGAGCCGCGGCCGGGCGGGGCGGGGCCCGCGGGGCCACTCAGTTTCGAATTCCGCCCGCGAGCCGGGCGCCCGCCCAATAGGGCGGCAGGAGCGAAGCCGCGTCCCGCCCGGGCCCCGCTCCCGAGGGCGGGGAGGCCGGCTTCCCCGCCTCGCGGTTGGTCGGCGGGAACCGCCGCTCTGTGACGCTGGCGCCGTGTCGGATGATTGGTTACGCTCAGGCGCGAAATGTAACGCGGGAAAATCTGGGGCTCGGCCTGGGGTGTGGGCGCGGAGGGGTCGCGGCGGCGGTGGCGGCTCCTCCTCGGGCATCGCCGGGACCGGGACTGCCAGCGGGGCAGGCGCCGCTTCGGAAAGGTGCGGGGAGGCTGCGGCAGCTTCACCCCGGCCGTTGCTATGGCCGGGGGCCGCCGCTGACTTTGCGGATCCGCTCGGGGGTAGCGGCGGGGGAGGGAGGGGGGAGGGAGGGGGAGGGGGGGCGGGCGTAGCGCACCGAGACCCCGCCGGGAGCCGCCGCTCCGGGTGATGAGCGGCTGAGGCGGGTCCGGGCGGCGACAGGTGGCGGCGGCCGCGGGACCCCCGTGCCGCTCCGCACCCTCTCAGCCCGGGACGCGCGCTCGGGCCGCGGGGCCGAGCCACCGCGGAGCGCCCCCGCTCCTTCACCCCGCCCTTCCCGCGCCGGTGTCCGCCAGGCGTCGGCGATGGCGGAGCGGCTGCCGCCGGGCCCCCGGGTGATTTTTTGCCAGGACTCCCCGAAGCGCGTTCTGGTCTCCGTCATCAAAACCACCCCGATCAAACCCACCTCGCGGGGGGGCGGTGAGGAGCCGCCGCCCGTCCCGCCCGTCCCCACCAGCCCGGGCTTCAGCGACTTCATGGTCTACCCCTGGCGCTGGGGCGAGAACGCCCACAACGTAACCCTCAGCCCTGGCGTCACCGCCGTCCCCTCGGCCCTCCCGCCGCCCCGCGGGGGAGCGGGCAGAGCTCCCGCCAGCGACGAGGAGAAGGCGGGGAGCCCGGGCGGCGGCAGGCACCGGCACCTGAAGGTGAGTGCGGGGCTGGGGTGGGGCGGGGAAAAGAGTGACTCCGCGCCGCGCTCCCCTCCCCCGCCGCCGCCCGGAGATTTAAAGTGAAGTCACTTCCGGCAGCAGCGCGCGCGCCCCGGTGCCGTTCGGTGGGAGGAGGCGGCGGCGGCGAGGGGAGGCGGGGGGGGGCGGCGGCGAGGGGAGGCGGGGCGGGGCGCCCAGCCGGGAGCCGCCTGCCCGCCGGCGGAGCGGTGCGCTGCGGGCGGGGCTCCTGACCCTCCTTCCCGCGTTTTAAAATTATATATTAAAAAAAAAAAAAAAAAGGGGGGGAGGGGAGGGGGGACACGGCAAAAAAAAAGTTTGTCTTCTATTTCGTCCGTTGCTCCCCGTTTCTCTGAGCGCGCGTCAGAGCGCTGACGTCGCCTCGGGGCCACCTGCCGGCCGCCGGTTTGGTTACCGGCCGCACCGCTGGCTTAAAAAGTCTCTGCAGGGAAAGTTGCGTTTTGGCGGGGGTCGGGAGGGAGGCTAACCTGCGGAGGCGGGGACGTGCGGGATTTGAGTTCCGTCGTTATTTCGATGCAGGATGGGATAAGGCGTGGCCGCCCGAGAGCTGACACCGTCCGTGACCTGATCAACGAAGGGGAGCACTCTTCCAGCAGAATACGTTGCAATATCTGCAACAGGGTCTTTCCGCGGGAGAAGTCGCTTCAGGCTCACAAACGAACTCACACCGGTGAGTAAAGGGAAGGTTCGTTTTCATAGCTGGTGTGAGCAGCTCAGGAAGCAGCAGGGAAGAAATTAAAAAAACGACAGAAAAACGGCAACAAGCCACCAAAAAACCCCAGCAAACTTAGCCTGTTAATATTTTATTGTAACTGTTAAATTAATCATACTTTTCTTCCAATGCTTGTTAGTACAGTCAAAGTCATTGTAACTGTGTGTCATGGTGAAGCGTAGCAGCAATTTGGACTATAATAGGATAGGCAAATTGCGTAAATATTTTTGCTGCTGTCACAGGCTTACTGTGTAAGAGAGAGAACTTTTCTGAGCTTGGTGCTCTGTACGTGGTAGCACATTTTATTCTGGCTTTACCTGTGGTTGCTTTCCTTCTCGCTGGTGTGTTCTCCACAGAGCAGCTGAAGTGCAGCTGTAAGAGAAGACGGGAACTTAAAAAGTGGCTGTGTGAGCCTACACAGGAACAACCACAAAACCACCGATGAAATGCAAAGAGGGAATTTATTCTCATTACCTTGTGACCCAGGGGATCTCCACAGAGGCATGCAAGCAGGGCTGCAGGCACGGCAGAGCACAGTCCTTGCTAGCCAGAGAGAAGGAAAAGCTTGCAAACCTTTTGCTTTTGCCTGTATAGATCAGGGATTTTTGCAGGTGTAGTTTTCCACCATGCTTTGATCTTCCAGCAGCAGGGCAAGCATCTCAAGGATATTTGATAATGTGCCTCTGAGTCTACCGCAGGCCTATGTTATCTAAACACAGACATTCTACCCTTCAGGCACACAAAGCTAAACCAACAATTAGTAAGATGTTCTTCAGCACCCCAACTGCAAGTCAGTTGAGCATGTTTACAGTTGTTCTGCTGATCTCCCATCTTTAAGCAGTGTAATCCCGTAGAAGTGTAGAGAAAAGAGTTCAAATGCTTAAAGTCACCATCAGGTTGTCACTCCCATCACCTACAATTTCCTGGGGTGGAGGTGGTCACACTAATTTACTGAACCATATGTAGAAGGCAACCTGAAGCTTGCTTAACATGTACGATCAACTCAATAGCCTGCTGAGTTTGAACTGAACATGAGATAACTGTTTTTTTAAACTAAATGAATAAAGTTTGTTTTTTTTTTTTTTTCTCTCTGGTTCCAGCAGGACTCTGTCTTTGCAATTGAGTGTGAATTAATGTGTCTCAATACAGATGCAACCACCAACACTCCCCCCCACATGCTCAAAAAAACCAAACAAAGCCCCAGATAAGCCTTTGCTCCCATGGTCTCTTTTTCTGACTCAAGTCACTAAGACTAATCTAGATATTAATATTAAACAGTGTCCTCAGGTTCTTTTGTCAAAAGACGTTTTTATTTCACTTGGTTGTATTACGTGTTGAACTTGCATTGAACTACTTAACTGAGCAGAGTTTACTCTGGTGTTATTCCTCTGACTTACTAAGTCAGCATCACCCTTGACTCGTCGTCCTTCCCGAGGAGCAGTGGCATAGCATGCCTTCACTCAGCTGCACGCAGTCAGATCCTCTTGAGGGAGGAGACACCTGCAATCTGTTCTCATTGCAGTTTGCATGGGGAGGTCTTCCTGGATGAATGGCCTAAGAAAGCTTTCTTGGTTTAAAGCTGGAATAAGTTTCTCTTGTGACTTCCATTTATCCATTACGCCTTTTCTCAAATAGTCTTCCCTAATGAGATATTTCTACAACTTTGTACGTTACTGTTGAACTCAGTTATTTCACCCTAGTTCAGGCTACATTAAGGATAAAACTTACCTGGTTACAACTTGAATTATGACTATTTACTCATTTTGCTTCATGCATTTCTTACTTCATAGGTGCATAGTTTCATGGGACAAAGCTTACATAGTGCTGTGCAAGAGGCTTAAATCAGAAAATATGATAAGGGAAAATATATTTTCTTTAAACTTTTTTTTTCTCCTCTGGAAATGTTTTACCCAGTAGCGCTGAGCATGTACTTCAAAGTAAAGATATGTTTGGGGTAAAAGGGGATCTCTGCTATTTGGTACACCAGGACTTTTTAAGTAGGTGCAAGTGTCTGAGTGGATAAAAGGAGAGCTTGCCTGTGTAATTCTTGAGCCAGGGACCACCACTGCATACTGTGAATCTTGTCTTGCATTCAGCTTCCAAAAATCTGTTCTGTTATTTTTAAGGTGAAAGGCCTTATTTGTGTGACTACCCAGATTGCGGGAAAGCCTTTGTTCAGAGTGGGCAGCTCAAAACTCACCAGCGTCTCCACACAGGGGAGAAGCCTTTCGTCTGCTCAGAGAATGGTGAGCCATTGAAGAAAAATTTGCAGCTTTCAGAACTAGGGTCAGTCTAGTATTGGAAATGTATGCATGTTCACATGGTAAAGATCCATGGAAGCTTCGGATTTTAATTTTGGAGGAGCTTCTAGGGAAGGGAGGAAGCCACTTAAAATCTGCATAATCATATGAAGATGTATCCACGTATTGCATGCGTTATTATGAAGGTAGGTTGTAATTTTGTCAGTTGATATTAATGTATATAATGATGGGGCATGTTATGAACCTTGCAACCAGAGCTTGCTGTTTTCAAGCAAACCTAGGGTTTTGTGAGCCAGGGAGGTCAGATTCTGCAGCATCTTCATCCCATAGGTGTTATGCTTACTCATTGGTTGGCTGCTTTCTTTAACACGTTTGTGTTTTTTAAGGCTGTTTAAGCAGATTCACGCATGCAAACCGTCATTGCCCCAAACATCCATATGCCCGACTGAAGAGGGAAGAGCTCACAGACAGGCTGAATAAGCAGCAGACGGCTGACAATAAAGCTGTGGCTGAGTGGCTAGCAAAGTAAGTTCCCTCGTGGTATCATCTTTCTCTAAATAGTTATAAGAGTGGTGTGAGAAAGCTTATTCTTAGGGGCCAGAAACCTCCCCCAACAAACCAAAACCAGCGTTCCTCCAGTACAAATCAGTCCGGCCTCGCCTTTCATTACAGAAGTGCTGACCTCCTGGTCAAAACAAAGTTCCTCATGAGACAAAGTTTTCTTCTCCCCCCCACCCCCCTGCTTAAATGCTTCTCTTTGTTTGATCAACACCTGCTAATACCTTGTTAGTTAGCCTACAGTCTTGCTGAATTTGCATCTGTATGAGGGGCAACAATTGTGTATGCCTGCTGGGAACACCATGTCGTGAAGCTTGTCACAGATGTTCACTTGGGCCCTTTACACTTAAAATACCGAATAAAGGAGGTTTCTGACAGTTTAAATACTACCATAAAAGGGCTGAGAGATAAAGCCAAATGCAGTGCTTAGTTGGATGCAAGCTAGCACTTGGGAGGTTTTTGCCAGCTTTGAATTGCTGGTGTGTGTGTCAGCCGTATATCTTTTAAAAGCATTCCCCGTATTTGATTTTGCAGATACTGGGAGACTAGAGAACAGCGTGCTCCTGCTTTGAAAACTAAAACAATGGAGAAAACAGATCAGGAACAGCAGGACCCGATGGAGTATCTTCAATCTGATGAAGAGGACGACGAAGAGGGAAACAGCGCTCATTCGGCGGCTCGCCGCCGCCGCCTCCAGGAACAGCGCGAACGCATGCACGGTGCGCTGGCTCTCATCGAGCTTGCAAACCTAGCTGTGGCACCGCTGCGACAGTAGATGGGAACAGAGTCTGCCTATATGAAATGGATATGTACTTCCTGGTGGTACTTAACCAGTTAGATCCTGAGCATAAGCTAAGCACCTTATTTGCTTCTCATAGGCTGCTATTCTGTAGAATTTATGAAGAATGTTGTTGCCCCGTCACATGGGGTGAGAGAATTGCACTTTTTGTAAGGTAAAAGACAGTTGTAAAGTTTCTAAGTCTTTTGTAAATACAGGACTGCATAATGCAGGGTTGACAAATGTACGTGTTTGTGGGAAGCTAGGTTTTGCAAGGTTAACTCATTCATTTGAAGCAGATTTCACAGAAAGCACTTTCTGAAGAAAGTGTTGGTGATTAGCAGAATGGTACACATGGCCAGAGAAGGCTGACAAGAAGAAAATTATCTGCCAATTTAAGCAAATTGTCATGGAGTGGTAGGTCTAAGATAGTGCTAAGCTGCAACAAAATCGTATTTTTCTAATGTCAGTGTATCTTTCCCTAGTATCACTGAGGCAGAAGGCAAAGTTTAGTTAATTTGCAGAGGGGAAGAAACTGCTTCATGCAGGGAACTGTAAGGTCGTTCAGGATCTTCACTGTGACTGCTCAAGGGATGAGGTTTGATTTTGCTCTCAAGTTTTCTGATTTGGTTTCAGTTGAATCTCGTGGCAGCACTTGTTATTCCTAACATGATGTTGGGAACTTTTGCACGTTTGTGGGTTTATCTGAAAATTATTAGTCTTGCAAAGTCTAGACAAAGGTAAACAATTGGTAGTATTTTTATTCAGATGTTTTTGGACCCTGTAGTGATTTGGCACTTGATTTTGTCAATAAAGGGGATATTTACAGGGTGGTATGGATATGTAGTAAACTATTGTAGATCTCTCTAGCAAACACTAAGTTTTGAAGTATTGCTTTTATATGATTATTAGCAAATAGAAGCCTTTGTACTTTCTGTGCATAAAGCCACCTTATTGCTTTACTTCAGGATAACATGCCAATTTTGTGTTCACTAACTGTAGCACAGCTATTAAACACTGCAGAAAAGTATTCCATATACAACTAGAAAATAGGCTTCCAAAGATAGTTACAAGTGTGTTAACAGTGTGATTTCATGTATTTTCCAAATAAATGAAGTTACAGAACTTTGCCTAGTACTCAAATGTTGATATAAAATGTTTAGCAGGATATCTCTTCACTTCGTGAATGTTTTATACTTTGAAACAGCATTGTCTCATGGTGATCTTTCTCTGTATTTCGCTTTGAAGGCAACCAGAGATGCCTGCCATACTGAGAAAACTCTGTTTTCGGTTTTTGGATTGGACTTTTTGTTGTGTGTTTGGTGTTCTGGTTTTGTTTGTTTGTTTTTTAAGCTACTGCTTTAGGGGATATTAATAATTTGTATGTACTGACCTGCTTGCTTTAACTCCTTCCTCTCTTTGAAGGTCAGGAAATTCGGAGAAGGGAAGCTATTTTCCCTCTTGCTTTTATAAACAAGAGGAAGAAATCATTTTGTCAATCACAATATAGACTGACCAGATGCGTACAGCTGTTCCAGAAAAGTAGGGTGATTTTACACCAGAAACTACAAGTGTTGCATTATGTTCTCGGATAGTTGATAACCTGTTGTTGAAAAATCTCATTAACCCAGTTTGTTTAAATCACGTATTGATGCACTTAACTAAAGAGTAATTGATTAATTAAAAAAACACTTTCATTGAATGTAAATAATTTTGCACCGGTGATACGGTTTAACTTTTTGTTTCAGTTCCTAAACTTAGCTGACATCAAGCTCATTTATTTCTGTTTTAAGTCTTTTAGGCTTAAAAATATGAAACAGTAGTTGTTCTAGGCTTCTTAGCCTATGTAAAATTGGTTATTCGCATGTGTAGGTTTGGAGCTTCTCAAATAAGTTAATGTTTTGACTCTTCAGTTGGCTGCATGCAAATAGTCTGATCCCAAAATGAGCCCCAAGTGCAAATCTGTTGTACTTCTGAGTCGTAACTCAGAATTGCTCCCGAGTAGTATTTCACAGGGCACAACTGTTTAATTACTGGCCAGTTCCAGACTTACTTCATTAGGATTTATTTTATTTTTTTTCCCCACCAGTCAGCTGTAATGCTTCGGGGAACTCACAGGATATTTCAAGTATGACAAGTAAAACTGAGTAGTACTCGGCTGTAGACAAAATACAGACAGCTGAAGAAGTTTCATGTTGTGACAAGTTTTGGGTAAAATACCCAACCCAGTTAAAGAAATTTGAGATGTGGAAGACTTGTATTAAGAAGTGATTACATACAAGGAATCTTGAGATGTATGGTGTTTCAAAAGTTTAAGTTGTAGTTTGTCATGACTTAACAGCAGAAGAGTGGATGTGCTGTCGTTTTGATAGACGCTTTGAATAAAAACTTGGTTGGATTTTCAAGTTTAGTGTGTGCTGTTTGGTAATTGTTGCATACTTCAGCCCTTCGTTTCTGTAATCCTGTTGGCCAGACTCGTCACGGAGCATGAAGGTGTTTATTTTCCCTGCCCGTGGAAGTCTGGCACAAGTTAACTTGCTCAAAGCAAGTTTTTTTAGAGCTTTTCCGAAGTCTGACAAACTTGCGAGGGCGCCTTGGACGCCGAGGCCGGGCCCGCGGGCGCCAGGCCGGGCGGTGTCGGGCCGCAGCCGCCTGGCCAGCCGCCTGCCCCCGGGCGCTCGGGCTCTCTCCCTGCCCCGTGGGCGAGCGCTCGGAGATGCCGAACGCCTTTTCCGTAAGGCTGGGTGAAAAACAAAGCGAGCTGCTGCCGGCTGGTGTCAAAGAGCACGGGCGAACCTCGGGGGCTGCCCCGCCGGCCTGGCGTCCCCGCGGTCACACCGCGCTGCGTTTCTCCGCCGAGCACCTTCCCCTTTGGCCGAGCCTCGAAGGGCCGCGGCGGAGGTGGGTGCGCGGCTGCGGGACCCCGCCGGCTGGGCCCCCGCACGGCCAGGCCGCGCCGCGCCCCGCCCCGCCCGGCCTGCCGGGGTGCGCCCTGCGGCCGCCGCCGCCCGGGGCCGAGGCGGGCCGGGCCGGGGAGGAGGAGTGGCGAGGGCCCGGTCGCCCTGGAGCGGGGCGCAGGCGGACCCGGCTCGCCGCCGCCATGAGCGCCGGGCAGGCCGCTGGGGAGGCGGCGGGCGCCGCCTCACCCTCGGCGCTGCCCAGGGTGCTCTCAGCCCTCTTCTACGGGGCGTGCTCCTTCCTCATCGTGCTGGTCAACAAGGCCCTGCTCAGCGCCTACAGGTGAGGGCCGGAAGGGCGGGCCGGGCCGCAGGCCGCGGCGGGGCGGGCGGCGGGGCCTGTCCCGGCCCGTCCCGGGCGGCCGGCTGGTCTGGCGGCGCTGCCGCCCTTCTCCCGGCGAGGGCAGGTCGTACCTGGCTGCCGAGGCGGAGCGGGGCCGCGCCGCCCCGCACCGCCCGTGGGGGGAAGCGTGTTCATTGCCGCTAGCGTAACGCGGGGGCGTCGGTGCGGCGCGGGTCCCGCGGCAGTCCTCTGGCACACCGGCACGGGCGGTCTGGCCCCGCAGCTGGCGGGGGGTGGGCTGAGGCGACGGTCGTTTTCTACATTCCCAGACCCCATTTGTGCCTTGTACGGACCACTTCCGCAACACCGCCCGGCGGCAGAGCCCTTGGCAGGTGCGTTTCTGGGGCACGCCAGTCTTTTCCTCGAAGGAAAGGCGCGTTTCTGAGGCATGCCAGTGTTTTCCTGGAAGGAAAGGCACGTTTCTGAGGCATGCCAGTCTTTTCCTTTGCTGGTCACACCAGATCACACCCTTCAGGGAAACAGTTTCCCCTAATTGTTTCTCCCAGGCACTCTTGTTACCTTCTTGCGATCACCTTTCTTGCTGGAGGTAGCCAAAATGAAGAGCGAACCTCAGAAAAATCTCTTTAACATAAAAACACTGAAGAACTACGTCTTTGACTTGATGAGGCAGCCCGTATGGAATCATTATCCTGCAGCTGTGATCTTCTCACTCTTAATATTCTTTATTTAAAAGGTTTGCTCTCGTTTTTCTGGGTTTTAGCTCATCGTGACTTAGAAAAGGGAAAAGAAGAAACAAAAGGAAAAATGTTAAAAAGAAAAAATTGCTGTTCTTTTCTGACATTCAGTGCTATTTGAGCACATAATAGCTGTGTGTAATATATCTCCCAGAAATGTTACATGGGGCAGGTTGAGATTTTGTTTTATGGTGGTTTTCATCGTACAATCAGCAAGTCTTTGGCATATGTCTAGCACATCCATGAAAGGTAATCAAGGACAGCGTGCCCATCGGTAAGCCTAAATTTTGTATAAAGAGTATACAGCATTGCTGGGAATGTTTAGAACTCTGCAAATCAAAAAGCTCTGGAGAAATCTGTGTAGAACGGATGAGTGAAGTCTCCATATTTATGTGGTATAGCTGTAAGTACAAACCAAAACACAGTTTAGGTGTGTCATAATTATAAACGGAAGTCCTGTTTCTTCTGCTTTCTGTCACCTCCTCCCCGATACCTCTGTTTCCTGGAATCTCTTTTGCTACTGGCGTTTCCTAACCCTTTCTCTACATTGTGACCCCAGTGTCCTTATGGCCTTGCTGCTGCAGTTCGGGGCGTTTCTTTCTTTTGCTAATACTGTGTTCCTGTCCCAGAGATGCTCATTTGAGATGTACATTTCTCAGCACACCAAACAGTAGTATAGCAGTCCTGGTGGCTTCTGTGATAAATAGCCACAACCTCAAGGAGCCTTGATAATAGAAAATTACAGAGCTTGTTGAGAATGTGGACCCTCCTTAGGCATTTGTTAGTGCAGACGTGCAAAGAGGATGAAATGGGTTTGAGAGTCTCCCCGGATGCAGTTTTCTGTCTGACCATCACTGACAGTGCAGTCCACCAAAATGCTGTGTGACCCCTGGGGGGCAGCAGGAGTTATCATGTTCAGGGGCCAAAAGCTTTTGGGCAGAGAGGCTCCAGACACTGCTGGTTATGGAATAAGGCAGCCATCCATTGTAAATGACTTCTTTGCTTGTATTTCAGTATGCATACAGAGAACTAGCAGTTACTGCCACACCTTTATTGGTTTTAGCTTGATGTAGGTTTAGGGGAGAAAACAGAGGCACTCAGGCTCTTAAGATGTCCTGCTAGAATTTCTACTTTCTTAACATTCAAGTATCGATGCTTTCGGCTAAAGCTAACTGGAGCAGTATGGTAGGAATTTAGCTGTTTTAGCAGGCAATAGATGTTTCTACAACATTTACCTAGGTACTTTACTTTCCTTTCACAAAATCATACTGCTAGTGTATCTGGGCTGTGGGAGATAAGGTTCCAAGTTAGGGCGAGTGGGAGAGGTTCAACTTACGATACCATCTCAGAATGTATAGTGTATATGGGAGGCCACTCAAAAAATGGTGGGTTATTAAGAGTTCTCCAAGTGTGTTACCTTCACTTAGAAATATCCCCAGAACAATTAGCAATTTAGAATTAATCGTCTGTGCGTATGCTATATTATTTGGATGCAGTTTGTGTTTTGCTGCAGAAATAAAATACAAGGATTCCACTAAGTGTAGAAGTTCCTGAGCACCTCAGAAAGACAGGCCAATCATCCACACGTCCAGTTGTTGACTTTGGTGCTAAATTTAAATTATTCTCATTTTAGTTTTGGTTTCTTTCCTTAATGTTAACTATCTGTTTATGCTTTTCAGCTTCCCATCACCAATGTTTCTTGGAATTGGACAGGTATGTTCACAAGCAAAGCACGGTAAATATACTTATTATTTTGTAAGTTAAACTAATGTTAGCATAGAGATATATTTTTTTTGGGGGGGGGGGAAATCTGTTACACTGCACTGCTTGTCTTTTGGATTAGGTACTCAGTAAGGAAGAATGAATTGTTTTAGTAAGATCAAAGAAGTTTCAGCTCAAGTCAAAACTGTTGCCTAGAAATAGTCATGTAAACGACTGGAAATGCCATTTTTCTCCTTGCAGAGTTCAGTAATTAAGAGATCTGGCCTTCCAAACTGTCAAGATTTGTTCTAGCAAGTGCATAGATCCAATGAGAGTCTGTCGTGGTTTGAACTCAGAGGGCAACTGAGCACCACGTAGCTGCTTACTCCCACCTTCCTCCCCAGCACTAGGAAGGTGAAAATGAAGCAAAAAGCCTCAGAAACCAAGATAAGGACAGGAAGGCATGACTCACCCATTATGGTCATGGGCAGAAGACAGACTCATTAGGGGAAGAAAAAAAAGATAACTTTAATTCAGACACTAACAAGAACACTTAACAGACGGAGTAGGACAGTGAGAAGCATTGCCACATCTTGAGAACACCTTCCCCCCACCTCTCCCTTCTTCCCGGGCTCAGTTCTGCTCCCAATATCTCTACCTCCTCCCCACAGCAGCGCAGGGGCAGGGAATGGGGGGTGCAGTCAGTGCTGCCACTTCCTTTATCTTCGGTGGGGGGAGCTTCTGGAACTTGTCCCCCCAGTTCCACCGTGGTCCCCTGCTCACAGGAGGCAGTCCTCCACAAACTTCCTCCGATTTGAGTCCCTCCCATGGGATGCAGCCCTTTCCGAGCTGCTCTGGTGTGGGACACCCCCTCATGTTGCAATCATCTCTGCGCAGAACTGCAACAGAAGGGGCTGCTTCTTCCCACAGGGTCCCGGCTGGCTTTGGGTGCAGCCACTTTCTTTGGTTGCGTCGGGCCCCCACACTGGCCATAAATCAGTGTCTGCTCCACTGTGGATCTCCATGGGTGGCAGGGGGGGCCGCCCTGCCGTCTGACCACAGGATACAGGAGGGTCTCTGCTCCAGCACACCTCCCCCCTCCTTCCCCCGTTCCTCCACTGACCTTGGTGTTCATGCAGATGTTACAGCTCCTTCTCTCAGGTCCCTTCTTAAATATGTTATCGTAGAGGCGCATCTGACTGGCTCAGCCTTGGCCAGAGGTGGGGCTGGCTTGGAGCTGTGGAAGCTTCAAGAAGCTTCTCACAGGGAGTCACTGGTGTAGCCCCCACCCCTGTTACCCCAAAATCCACCAGTCACTCAAACCCAGGACAGTCCTTGAGCGTTTCTGGGTTACATGCAGAGGTATTACCCTTATTTCTAGACAAATACCTATTTCCTCTCCCCCCTTTCCAAGCAGTTTTCCAGCCGGACTGCCACCCAATTTTGGTTCTTTGTTGCTTATTTACCTGTGGGCAATTTGAAATAAGTTTTCTGTTCTTTTGTGTTGTTAGTAGGCATCGGTAGTGACACCAAAGTTCAAACATTTCTGTACATGATCTATAAAGAAGAATGTGTGACTCTGCAGAGGGTTGGCTGGGGAAGGTGAAGCATTGAAGCAGGTGTTGTTTAAGCCAATACATTTAAAAGAGAGGATTTGCTTTCTGCCAAGGTTACAAGCTAGGGGTAGTGAGGAAGAAGTGAAAACAGGG